GACATTTTGAGCTAAAGCTCGAAATTTACTTTGAATTGCTGACAATTCACACGTTAGTGAATAAGGTCTACTTTCCTTATTGTGGCTTGTGGCATCGATGCTGGAATACAATGAGTACAGCTCACTTTGCATTAGCTGCATATTTGGATGCGTTGCATGCCTCTGAACAAAACCATTTAAACTGCACTTTGTTAATCAGAAGTAATTCAGCCTTATCTCCAAACTGTCCATTTCACACAGTCTTGGGTTTTTTCTCTAGTCTACTGTTTCTCTGGACGTCTAAGTAAAATACTAAAAATAAGATTTTTTTTTCTTATCTAATAGAATTTTTTTTCTGCCTGTTTTTGATATAATGTACTTCATCTTGTACCTCTGGCTGCAGTAGTTCTCTGTACACGCATCATGTATTATAAATGTTTATTTTGTATTTCGAACACTGTGTTCCTTCATTTGTAAAACAAAATTGTATTTTTTTTTAAATTATAAAAAAAATACTAATGCAAAATACAACCCCCCCAAAAAGTGTAGTATGTTATTACACAGTGTTGCAGCTGTGCAAGTCCAATGTGAGGTATTTTTGTTTATGCCTTAAGACAGGAAAACACCATCAGGGCTTTTCACTAAAATGAGAATTCAAAGTGAGTTTCAAATTTAAAGGACCACTATAGTGCCAGGAAAACATACTCGTTTTCCTGGCACTATAGTGCCCTGAGGGTGCCCCCACCCTCAGGGACCCTCTCCCGCCCGGCTCTGGAAAGGGGAAAGGGGTAAAAACTTACCTTTTTCCAGCGCTGGGCGGGGAGCTCTCCTCTAACGATCCTCCTCCTCTCCGCCCATTCGGCTGAATGCGCACGCGCGACAAGAGCTGCGCGCGCATTCAGCCAGTCGCATAGGAAAGCATTTACAATGCTTTCCTATGGACGCTTGCGTGCTCTCACTGTGATTTTCACAGTGAGAATCACGCAAGCGCCTCTAGCGGCTGTCAATGAGACAGCCGCTAGAGGCTTTGGAGGAAGGTTTAACCCATTTATAAACATAGCAGTTTCTCTGAAACTGCTGTGTTTATAAAAAAAATGGGTTAACCCTAGCTGGACCTGGCACCCAGACCACTTCATTAATCTGAAGTGGTCTGGGTGCCTAGAGTGGTTCTTTAAGGCCATAGTAGCCTGAAAGGAAAGCATAGCTGACTTAAAGGGACACTATAGGCACCAGAAAAACTACAGCTTAATGTATTTGTTCTGGTGAGGTATAGTCCCTGCAGGCTTTTTAATGTAAACGCTGCCTTTTCAGAGAAAACGCAGTGTTTACATTACAGCCTAGGAACGCCTCTAGTGGCCACTTCTCAGACAGTCACTAGAGGTGTTTCCTGGCGCAGTGCTGCACACCTTCAGCGTCTCCTGAACTTTCCCCATAGGGTGCAGAGATGCTGATTATCCGCCCTGCCTCTTTTTCCATAGGAAAGCATTGTGATTGGCTGAGATCATCACTTCTAATGATGTCAGCCAAGGTGGCGGATTGTGCAGCAACCAGATGCCAGTAGCCCTGCGCATACATATCACCTTTCTAACCAGAGATAAGGGGGAGCCACACACCTAAACGGGGGTTATAGAAAATACATGTTTGTGTACCTGACAGTATAGTGTGACTTTAAAGTTTTTTCGTTTTGACTATTTTAAGCTTAGATTTGAAATTCCCTTTTGAATTCTCACTTTGGTGAATCATCCTGCATGGCAGTTGCTGGCCTTAAAGGGACACTCCGCTGCCAAAATACAAAAAGAAAAATCACTGTTTAGTAAATATACCCCCAGTGCCTCCATTTAATTCAAAAAAAATTTAATCAGAGGTAAATCTAAAAACAGCTTGTAAAAGCTACAGTTCTCTTGTCTGCTGCCTTTGTTGCCCTCCCCTTCTAACCCCGCCCAGACTTTCTGTGTCTGTCCAATCATAGGCTTCCCAATGCAGCTCAATGAGAAGTCTTTGCAAGGCAGGTGCTCTGGGCAATTGCTGCCTCTTAAGTTTAGTTCCACTCAGCTAAACAAACCAGGAAGTAACAGGACCTGTTGTCTGCTAGAAAAGCCAGGAGGTTTTAATTTATAAATATTATGAAAGTGTCGATTTCCAAAAAAAGAGTACACACCCTTCACATATAAAGCTTTTCAGCAAGCTAAAGTGCTTTAGTTGTCTGGAGTGTCCCTTTAACTAATGGAGAGGTTATCATTCTTGTTAGCATTGTGATGCTCACACAGAATGTGAATTCGATATACAGCCTGACAGCACTTTTCATTTATTGCCCATCAGAATAAAATGTCCGCATCCTCTTCTCTCTCAAGTTCTTTTTTGTAGTTTCAATTACCTGTCATTTAAGGGGTTATTTGGGAACCCCAGCCTGGCTGCTGTAGTTGAACATGTTTAATCACTAAAGTGAGAATTGTTGGGTATTTAAATGGAATTTCAAATGTAAGGCTCTAATACCCAAACTGGAAGATTTGTAGAATTTTTCCAGTTCAGCTACTTTGGTCTTACATTTTAAATTCACTTCGAATTCACATTTTATCACTATGTCATACTTGTGTATGCTTCTACAGTTAGACTTCTTTGGCCTTTGGCCCAACAATTCTCACTGTAGTGAATGACTATTTTGGGGATTGGCAGAATAGAGAATGGATTTACACAATTTAAATGGAAATAGCTGTGTTACAGAAGGTTGCAAATTTGACTACTCAGGCCTAACATGGGGGTCTATTTACTAAACGTTAAAACAAGCAATGTATCCATGGGTATAAGGTTAACACAGCCAGGTGATCCTACTCCCAATCGCTGGGTCTATAAATTACACCTCCTTGGGCTGGAAGGGGTATCTGTGTTGAGAACCTGTTAGAGCGATAGATTAGTACAAGGTCAGTTGTGGTTTGTGCTGTGTGAATGCTTCTCGTTTTAGCTTGTTATTCTAGAGGCTTTCACATTCTGTGTTTATTTTGCTCCTGTTTGCTTTCATTCACGTAATCTGAAGGAAAAATATCCCAATATTACAGGAAAAACCTTTAACTTCGATTTACTATGCTCCTTCAATGTATCTTATCTAACTAGTGATCATTATAATCTTGTATTACTTACTGTCAAGGATTACCCCTTAACCAGTCCAGAGTTTTATTATAATTTATTTCTCACTGTTTAAAGAGCTCTAATGGTGCATATTCAGAACTAGTGGTTTTTTTTGTGTGTGTTGGTTTAAGAACCAGTGATGTGGCTACCCTACTCCTGGTAACATTTTAAAGTTGGATGAATTACACAAACTTTAACTTTCTGTATTGGGAGCTCACTGGGTGTGAGACCTGACCTCATTCTGTCTGTCTGTCTGTCTGTCAGGCTGTGGTGATTGTACCTGCCGCAAGAAATAGTTTGTTAAACCTGTTAAGTGGTTGGAATCCTTAAGATGTTTATAAGGACGTGGCTAATAAAGTGAGTTCAAAGTGTACTTGCGTGTTTGGGTGGTTTGTTTTTTGTTTTGTCAAAATGGCCAAATGAGAACTCCTTTGCATTGGTTAAGTTTCCAGTTTGGTTATTTTTGCCTAAAACTCTGACATTCACTTTGCTCTCTGCAGTTATCCGTTTAGTGACTACTCTGTAACTGCTGCAGTGCAATGGTCCATCCTAAGGACCAGTGCTGTAATACGGGCTTGGTTAGTCATTATAGTGACCCTTTTTAAGTGAATTTAAAGTCAAAATGGCCAAAGAGGGGAAAAACTCCCTGCTAGGTTTACAGGCTTCCTCCTGGCTTAAAGTTCACTCTGCCTTCTCTCTTTAGCAAATGACTCTGAGCCCCTGGAGCTGCATGATCACAAGCCTAACGCTTTAACACATGGCTGCACTGACTCTATAGCATGGCAATAATAACAAACAAAATGGTAATTCTGAAATTAATGGTTTGTTTAAGAACATATTTATTAATTTTCCCTCCATGAACAAAGATGTAAAACAATCTGGAACAACCTCTCAAATCTCACTTTTCACGAGGAATGTGACAAAGCTGGCCTCGTGAGGTTGTGGGTTTTTTTATAATTATTTTTGTTGTGCACAGCTTACATAATAGATGTGGCTTGCCACAAAAACAGTAGTATGCGTTAGAATACTATAACATTGCAGTAGTGGTTCTGCACAATTTTTATGTTTAATGTAGGAAGAGCATATGGTAAGATAAACAGGTTAGTAGTTGGGTAGAGAACTGTGTCTTGCTATGTGTTACGAGGGCAGGCTGCCACAGGATATTAGCGTGTCAAAGACTGGTTGTCAGGCAGCGCTGTGATATTAGGGAAGCCTGATTAGTCGTCGTTACTGAACAGGGTCTGCCCAAGTGTTAAGAGCTAGTAAGCCTCTGGGTTGCTTAAAATTACGTGAGCTTCAACATAGAGGATTAAACTAAGGCATCACTAAGCTGAAATAAAAATGTAACAAGGTAACGTTGCTTTCTAGGTTATGAGAAATCAAATATAAACCACAAGCTTGATAGGAACTGTTAGGGTTCCCGTGAGGTTTGTCCCAGGTCAGTCCGTTTGCCAGGCAACATAAGGGGCGCAGAGGAAGGCAGTGTTAGCGGTCTTCAATCAATACCCCATGCATGCCATTGGGGACAGTTCATCCCATGTTCGGGTATCTTGATCCCCCTGTCCGGCGTACGGGAAGTCAGGCTGTGCTGCAAATGCTGTAGGCTGGTTGGGACACCCTGGGTTCAGCGCGGGTCGCTTCTCCCTCTCTGGTGGCGGGTTGGTTTCCGCACACCACGGTCTTGGTGTCCCTTAGGGGTCATATCCTGCTGTGGAGGGGGTGGCTGGTGGCTCTGTTGTGCCGGCGCTGTCTGCAGCGGTGAGGCCTCAATCAGTATGCATGGTGCTTTGGGGTTTTGTGTCTCTTGGCCCCCCGCGTTGGTGGGCTCACCGTTGTGGGTTGTTGTGGCCTTGAGGTGATAATACTTGGTGAGGGCTTCTTTCAGCCTGGTCCCGTTCTCATGAGTTTCTCCTCCGTGTTGAGGTGATGTGGGCTGCGGGTGTATCTCCACAGGGTCCCAGAGCCTCAATGAATTTCTCCAGCCTCCACCAGGCTTGTTCCGTGGGGCTGAGCTGGAGCGCTTCAGACTGCGTGTGTCTGGGTTTACTCTGACTGAAGACAGCCGCCATCTTGTGTTGTGCGGTAGTGGGTTGGCAAGGGCTATTGCAGCTGTGGGGATCGTTATCACCACTGATTGCAAGCTTGTGCGGACTGGGATAACCCCGACTGGTCCAAAGGGGGAGGGGGGGTTAAGCACGAAGCTCAATACGTTGCGGTGTCTTTTGATTCCCGTCTAGCAGGTTGGCCGTTCCTCCCGCCCGGGTCTCGCTAGGCCGCAGTTTTCAGTCTCTGTGGGCCACTCGATCGCACCGGCAACAGACCGGTGTGCTTTCAGCTTTCTTGGGTCCCTTTTAGTGTTGATTAGGCATCAGTGAGCCCGTGGTTTCATCGTTTAATTTTGTTTTAGGAGAGGAGCTCACCGACCATGCGACCGCTCAGTATGGCGTCCAGACATCGCCCCCTCTTGAGGTTATTTAAGGACGAGAAATAGTTTCTAAAGATGAATATTACAGCAATGTGTCCAGATATCTACAGCACGATGGCCTGAACTAGTCTGTCAAAATCCATAACAGGAAAAGCCCACCACAAATCGTGTTGGTTTATTTTGTCTCCTTCAGGGGTTCAATGGATTCTTGTGCTAGGCACCCCTAATTTTAATAACTCCTGCACTAATGTGATTTTACTCTTTCAGATTCCACAATGAAATACTCGGCTAAATCAGTGAAGAAAAATGAGCCAACAAAGGTTAGAAGACAGAGTCTGATTGAACTAAGAAAAAGTAAAATCCAGGCGTTTCGACTGTTCCTTCACACTCTAAGGATGAGACGGGTAAGTAGCACAGGTTCCATACTGGGTACCCCTAACTAAACCTTCCTGTGCAATCTACGCTTCCTGTCAGATGGAGGCTTTTGCTGCACTATCTGCTGAAAGGCTATATAACTGCTCAGATTATAGGTGGTGGTATCTTCTAACGGGACAACTTGGCACAGAGGATGGTGATAGAAAAATGAACCAACTGTATATTGTGTCAACAAAACAAACTAGGATGTCACTCGCAACAGCCGATGGTTCAAATTCTAGGCTACTACACAAAGGCCCAGAATAGTGTGTGCGTGGATAGCCCTTGACTTGATGTCTGGACTGGAACCACACATGATCAGCAAGTTCCTCATGGGTGGGGATAGAGCATACCAATAGGGAGTTGGCTCCTGCCACTTATAAATGTAGGGGATCCTTGGTAGCTGCATATAGTGAGCAAACACTGTAACAGATGGCAATCATTAATACTGGAGTAATGTCCTTTGAAAATATCTTTAATTTTCCCCAATCCCTGGTCCTTGCATCCTCGCCATATTCTAAAAAATTAAAGAACCGAAACATTGACTTCTTTCTGGGAGAACGTGGAAACTGAAGGGTTAATATAACCACTTTCTCGGCACAGACCGAAGCACATTTTATTGCTTTAAACCAGGATGTAAGAATGCTGGACTGGGCCGTACCACACAATGTGTGACTCTCAAAGATTGGCACAATTTACCATGAATAGCCTACATCTTGTATCTGTGGGACTGTTGGAGGAATTGGCAGAGCCACAAACGCTTGCTCTTTGCTTAATGCCGTTAAAGATATTTAATCCAGAGACCTCATTCTTGCAGAGGTTCCCACAGTTCAAAGACCAGGACAAGGCTTTCTCTGCTCTTATTGGAATTAATTGCTCATATTCCCCTCCCTGAATCTCATGAAGTGTCAGACTTAAAGATCTGACTTCTGTCCCTTAATCAGCCTGTTACCAAGCTGTTGGCTTGGTTTGATTGTAAACTGAGTGTTATTCAGGTCCCTGGCTAAAAATAGTTTTATTTGGCTTAAAACCAAATCTAATGTCTGAACTATGACTGCCAGATTAACTGTAAATATTTTTTGCTCACTACTTTCTCCTTTTTAAAAACTGTTTATTTTGTTTACAGTCATCTCAAAGGTCGTTCATCTGAGCAATATGATCCGTTGTCACATCCCTGATGGTAAAATGACAAGATTCCTGGAAATTCAAGCCCCTCTAGAGTCTATTAAGACCATGCACTTCAATTAAAACAGATTTCTTTTTATTTAAATAAATGTTTAGAATTTTATACTTTTGTGGGTTTTATTTCCTGTTTGTCAACAGAAAACAAATATTTTGCCTAGTGCCTTCTATGTAATTTGTTATAATAAAATTTAAACTATAATCTCACCAATTCAGCGTAGCAATATTTTATACATTGTGGGAGAAGAGATGCAAGAACAGGATATATTTCTGAGACCAATAATACTCAGCCTATTATAAAAGCCAGACTGTCTAGTAGTCTCCTGGGAGATGTGCCTAGTGAGTCCCAACAACTTAATGTAGTAAAGCGGTTAAACTGATTTATTTTTGTCCCCCACCCTGAATAGCTCTGACAAAATACTACAATTTTCAGTCTCTGGTATAGTGACTGAACATCATAGAAAATAACTTGCACTTGGCAAAGTGTAGAAAGTTCACGTCAATCTAATAGAAAGTTCCATAGTTCTAGAAGCCCTTACCGTCTGATGTCCTGAGCTCCACTCTGCCGTGAAGTAACCAAAAATAAGCAGTTGATTCATTGGATCGTAAGAACTTAATCTGGCAAAAATTTGTCTTAAAATGGCTAATTTTTATATCAAAATTGATATCTTGGTGCGGTTCCCCGAATAACGATAATATAAAGCTGAGAATTATCCACGATTTTTAATTCTTAGATCCAAAGGAAGCTCATTAGAGGATTTTTACTTCACACAGTAATCACAAATTAATTCTAAAATAATTTATTGTGACAATAATAAAAATATGTAACATGCATGACAATCGGTGAATAATTAGTATAACATAATTATACAATATGGCAGTAGTTTCAACACAATACAGACAGCTAAAAGCAACCAGTTGTCAACAATTTTAAGACTTACAACAGGACACTGTTTAGAAATGAACTTCACACAGAAAGCCTAACTTAACAGCACAGATTAGCAAACTTTGGCGTTAGTCAAATCACACTAAACTAACCCTTCCACTGCTGGCTACAATCCTCATAGGCAAGATATCCTATTTTGTTGCAACTTTACAATGAAAGTAATGTTCATACCCGATCATTTGACCATCCAATAAAAATTCTACCAGATTTTACGTTTGCCGAATTTTAACTTTCCTAAATAAGATTCACTCTTATCAGAACAAGTCTATACATCTGGATAAAATTTGGTATGCTAACATCTGGTAATTTATAATTATCTTTATTCCACCTGCAGGAATGGAATTTTTATAACCATATATTCCTTAGCCAATTATGATTTCTAATCGAAATCTGACCAATATATTCCTATTAGTAAAAATTAATTTAAATGCAATTAAATAAAACCAGCATAATTGTAGATTCTCTCAGATGTGTAGCTATGTCCCATAAATTATTAATGCAAGTATGATGTATTTGTATGGAATACATCTTCTGAAATTCTGTTAGTTGGGAAAGTTAATAGTAAGAATTAGGTGTCCCAGCAGAGAGTTGTTTGAGTACAGTCCATGTCAGAATATGTTTCAAAGAGTGTATGAATGTCCCAAGAGTTGAATCTCCCTCTCTTCCCTTTGTCCTTACTTTTTAAAGGGAAAAACTCGCTGCACGTCACTAGTTCATAGGACCAATAGAGAACTGTAGGTGTTTTCCCTACAGATTATCATCTAGTTTGTGGTCAGTAGGTGGCGCAATTACATCACCAAAAATTCTCGTCAGGAGGTCCATTTGCCTTTTTGCATAATGGGTTAACTGAAATTGGTGATGCTTTCTGTCATTTTCAGCTATCTTTATGGCTACTATAAATTTAGATTCCTGACAATTTCAAAGGCTTTTTCCCTTATACCAGACCGTGTCGGCAATTTCGATCGTAATTTTAGAATTGACACCTAACCTTAATTTCACCTCTTACTTACAATGGAACTAGTAAGATTCCATTTATTTATTTTTTGAAGAAAGTAAAATTAATTAGTGTTATCTGTCATTGATGTCTGGTTTTCTTGTGTGAAATTGTGTTTAAGATTATTTATACTCCACTAACATTAGTAAATGAGATTTCTTCATTGATATCTGTCCATGAATAGCCTATATTATTAACATAATATATGATTTAATATAATAGTACATTTTAAGTGGATAGTGTGTATATGTATATATAATTATGTGTAAATTTGTCTCTGGGTTGTTGTATTTCATCCCACTTTCGCTGTTGGACATCACGCCTTATCTCAGGTTTTATCTCTAATGTTTACATTAGTGCATTCCTTAGCTCAGACTTGAATGAATAGTTTTATAAAAAGGAATCTTGTGTCTGTCTTAGCCTTGTAAAACAAACTGGAGTCACCTCTGTTCTGAGTGTGACTGGCAGTATACACTTTTAATTTCTGTCTTAACACAAAATGTCTGCCGATATAAATATATTAACAATCAGAGCAGGTTTGCAGTTGCTCTACAATGTTAAAACAGACCTATTTATAATGGCACTAAGCAGTAAAGCACCCATGTGGTGGATATTAAAGGTAGATATTAATCAAATGACCCATCCAGTGTTCTAACTTTACAATCAGGGTTCAATTTTTTTTATTCTATTTTTTGGGATGGATTTAAAGTTGGAAGAGTCAGTTAGGGCTAGAATTGGATAACACTGGTTGATACAATAACTACAATGCAAGTTTGCTTATTAAGGAGTCACTGTAATAGGGAGAGAAGCCAGATTAAAAATATTTAAATGTAATTTCACTAATAGACATTCATAGCACTTCAGCTGCTTGATAACTGTAAGCCAGGCCGGGAGAGGCAATTGGGTAACTGGACAAAACTGCAGTTCATCTTATTGTCATGGGCTAGTTTGGGAGATCACGGTGTTGAAGTCCTTCTGCAGCTTCTATCAGTGGATTATAGGTGCCAACGTGGCTTCCTGCAACCGCCTCTAATCCTTCCCACATATTGCACCCAAAAGCGTGAAGGAGGCCAGCAGGGTAAGACCAGAGGAGCAGGTTGGCCAAGATTAGATACAATGGCTCAGACTAAAATGTGCCCCAGGTGAAATTTTGTCTAGTTTGGTCATATTCTTAGTTACACTCCATTTCTGTGACAGATGGACAGGGGAGCAATTACCCTTGCTGCCACATATACAAGCCTTCCGCGGGGTTTATTTACTGACTCTAAACTCCAGTGAATTGAAAAACAAATTACTAAATTCAGTAGAAATGTGGCAATTCTGCTACGGTCTCAGCTTGGATGTTTCTGCGCACAGTTTGCCAATCACTTTTCAGATCACAACTGGATGTTTAGGGAACAAGTATTTTCCAAAGTGTAGCTCTCACATTATTATTATTATTATTATTATTATGATTATTTTATTTATATAGCGCCAACAAATTCCGCCAACAAAAAACATCTCACCCTGCAAGTATGTTGCACGCATGTGATTTCACAAAACACTGTGTGACACCACGTTGAGTGACAGATGAGCATTGCAATTCAAAAATATCGCTGTCCTGGCTGGAATAAAATCAATCAACATGGTAATTGAACGTTTGGCAGATTGTTTAGTGATGGCACACAGTTTAGCACAAAACAATGGGGGTTCTCTATAAAGGGTCATTCTTGAGCAATCCCCAGGGAAACCAATTTTTAGAATATTGCCCCAGAATTATTCATTACAACCACATTGTTCTTGAAATATTAAATCACTTTCCCAAGGTGGTCAGAACAACAAACAAACATTTCAACCCGTGTACCCTGCAGCCGCTTGACATCCTGGATGGATATATCAGCTTGGAAGAACAGAAACATAGAATGTGACGGCAGATAAGAACCATTCGGCCCATCTAGTCTGCCCAATTTTCTAAATACTTTCATTAGTCCCTAGCCTTATCTTATAGTTAGGATAGCCTTATGCCTATCCCATGCATGCTTAAACTCATTTACTGTATTAACCTCTACCACTTCAGCTGGAAGGCTATTCCATGCATCCACTACCCTCTCAGTAAAGTAATACTTCCTGATATTATTTTTAAACCTTTGTCCCTCTAATTTAAGACTATGTCCTCTTGTTGTAGTAGTTTTTCTTCTTTTAAATATAGTCTCCTCCTTTACTGTGTTGATTCCCTTTATATATTTAAAAATAGAGAATAGAAGATGGTTTCCTCAGGTGTCTTTTTTTTTTTTTTTTATAGAATTTCATTTTTTTCCTTTTTCATTAAAATGTAATAGCACATGGGAGATGTGACTATTGTTGCCAGATGCGTCATGATTCGTTGCACATAAAATAACCTCTATGTGCTAATATATCCTGAATATTGTGGTCCTGTAGCATTAGAAAGGGTGGGAGTTTGGGTCTGAAATGGTTAAAGGGCTAGATAAGGGCATGAACCCAGAATTTATTAAAGTAGATTTAGAGAGAAAACCCTGACCAAACAAGATGATGAAATATTAATACAATGTCTAAAACTTCACTTTAATGTTAAAAAAAGGGGTGGGGGTTGGGGGAAATGTATATCAATAATTAGTATAAATCATGGACAGAATTAGGTATGTTCAAAATCTTGTCCTAGTGAGACCAGAAAAGGAGAAAGTATAGATCAATCTGTGTATAGGTACAGATAATACAACGAACAACGTGGAAAAAGTGTGAAAAAATAAATTAAGAAATAAAGAAAAAGTGTTCATTAACAATGAAAGGGAATATTTACAAAGAATGAGCTTCAGAGATTGGTGCAGAGATCGGTTCCTACGAAACAGATAAGGGGATTTAGCTCTATATTGCTCGATTACACCGATCTCTAAGCCACACTTTTCCCACATTGTTCATTGTATTATCTGTACCTATACATAGATTGATCTGTACTTTCTTCTTTTCTTGTCACACTAGGACAATATTTTAAACATACCTAATTGTGTCCATTTATACTAATTATTGAAATACTTTCTCCCCTCCCTCCCTTTTTTAACATAACAATAAAAACGAAGTTTTAGACATTGTATTAATATTTCATCATCATCTTGTTTGGTCAGTGATTTCTCTCTAAATTTGCAGTCCTGTATGTAGCAGTCATATGCTGTAGAAAGAATGGATCACCAGCTCTAATTGGCTTGATTTGTGAACTGATTTCCTTTCTGGAGCACATTTCATGCTCTACCCATCAGCAGGAACATTTTATTTATTTTTTAACTTTCTTTTTATTATTTAAAATAAAACGATTACTACACGATTGGTATCACAGTGGAAAGCGCAAGTTCCTTGCATTGCAAACACATGAATCTTGCATCACAGTATAACAAGATTATATAGCATCATAAATATCTCAAGTGCTCTCAGTTCTGCATGTTTAGTAAAAAGTACAAAATAAACAATTTAACAAACTAAAACTCATGAGTCTCAGGCTTCCCACCAAGCCCAGGGTACCCTCCAGAATCCCGACCTCCAAAAACTCTATGGTGTGGGGGCAGAGCCCCTCCCGACCAGCTGCGGATCCCCGGGCCCCCCTCCTCCCGGGATCCTCTCTGCAACATCCCCCCTCTCCGTGGCACCCCTCCATCCTCCAGGTAATGGTCCCGGAAGAAAGTGGTTAAGTTAGTCCAGGAAATCATGATGAATATGGCAACATTGGTGAATTTTACATTATTTAGATATAAATTTGCAGCCCTGCTCCCATGTTTCTCCTGGATCCGTATTATATTGAAGCCTTGCAGTATGTAGAATTCATACGCGGCAGGAGGGAATCCAGTTAAGTATTTCCAATGGAACACTGGTTCCTTTCTACAGCATATTAATTCTGCAGGCCAGCACTTTTCATGTCTTACCTATTTAATTAAGGAAGATAATTACATCTAGGAAAATATTAGATGTGCGTAGAAATCACCGAATCAATCGGTTTGAGGTTTACGTGACAGATCGATTTGTTCAGTGCGAATAGAGTGTATCTGATGACGTTACACAGCGATCTATTCACTTAACAACGAATTGGGAAGGCTTAGAGCAGGCTTCCTCAAACGCCGGCCCTCCAGATGTTGCTGAACTACAACTCCCATGATTATCAGTCTATATATTTCATTCATAGAATCATGGGAGTTGTAGTTCAGCAACATCTAGAGGGCCGGAGTTTGGAAACCCTGGCATAGAGCAACGCCCGGCTGGAATTACATACAAACATTGATAAAATTAGGAGCTTTCATTCCAGTCCTGCTATTTGTGGCCTCAATGTTGCTAATTAGTTGCCAAGACGACATAACTGCCCCTGATGTCTGCTAATTGGGATAATTGAGTCCCAGCTGTGCATAGTGATCCAATGATTAATGGGTGGTCCCAGCTGGGGTGGGTATAAAGTCTGAGCACTGAAGGTAGGAAAGTTACAGCCTGGTGCTTGTTGTTTTGGTGAGTCAGTGACTGTTGGATGGGTGTACTTGGTTTCCAGTAATTCAGTGGTGTTGAAATCCTGGGGTTTATGTTGTTTCATAGTCAGCAGATGCTCAGTTTTTGTTTTTTTTTTTTGTATAATTTTGTTATTCTGCAATAATCAGTGTGCATTGGAGAAAACTCTCTAACCTTCTTACATAGCCGTGAACTGTCCAGAAAATACTCGTCTTTACATGTTTTGTGTCCTATAGACCAGGCATAGGCAACCTTCTGCACTCCAGATGATTTGGACTACACCTCCCATGATGCTTTGCCAGCATTATGGGTGTAAGAGCATTATGGGGGATGTAGTCCCCAACATCTGGAGTGCCGAAGATTGCCTATCCCTGCTATAGACTATGGCTTGAGGTGTGCATTATAGGAAAATATCTAGACCTCTCTGTAAGGCATTATGGAATAAGTACCATGTGTCTTATTAAACCCATTATGTGCTGTAACTGTGTCTGATCCATGCAGTGGATAATGGGCAAGGAATCACTGGCTTTCTAGAACTAATTCCTGTATTAACTAAAACACTTTCTGCTACAATGCAATAGAACTCTGTACCTAGCTCTATCATGGGGAACTCGGTGAGTTACTGGCAAGACTAGAGAAGCTATGCTTTCTTAAACTGCATATTGGTCACACTTGTTCATGGAATGAACTACATATTCCACATGCTTTGTCAGCATTCTGGGAGATGTAGTCCACAATATCTGGAATGCTGAAGGTTGTCTACCTCTGGCCTAGTGGGTATAGTATCCTGCTGAGAACTGACAGGCCTGGCTTGGCAGTCTCTCTATATGTATGTGCTGAGCACACACTGCTTTGGTGGGTTTTTAAATGTTCACTTGTCAGGGACAGGCCCTCTTTACCAATAGTACACACCTGGGATGATGCCCTTGCTCTCCCTCTCCCTGTATTGATATAGATTGGTGTGATCTGTCTTCTAGATCTTTATAGCTGAGATGAAACCTGTTGTAGCCAAGAAGTCAGCGGCAGCTGCCTGTGGCAGTATGCAAGCCTTGCCAGTAATGGTGAAACCCAAAAAGAGCTACTCCAAACATCTCTACAGGATTGTAAAGCAGGTAGGTAGTCCTACTCAACTGTACCCTAAGGAATAAATTCTTTATCCACTGCAGGGCCTTGCAATATGACCCTGGGATGCCATTAATGAGGATTATGGAGTAAAATCAGTATTGCAAAGAACTGGCGCTCTATGCCAGAATGGTGGAGTTAGGATTATTAGACTTGGCTGATGAAATAACTGTCAGTTTGTAGTTGGCTCATATTACAGGAGAATATGTATATAAAAACAAAGGCTGTGTAATTCTGGCCTCTATTACTGCTGATGGGCAGAGCATGAAAAGTGGTACCCTGTAGTCTATAGCATTCCTACACTGATGGCTAATCCATTTAAATAACCTGTCCCATTAACTGACGAACTTATCCTTGTATTGGTAGCTTTAATAACTGTTAAGATAATGCCCCATCTGGGCAGCTGGTTCTGTTTGTGGGCACTCTCCCAAGCATTGTACTACCTTCAAAGATGCCAACATGCTGTTACACTCAGAACCTCTCAGAACAGTGATGGATCACACTATCCTCTGGAGTCTGACTCAATGTATCATGTTGGCTTAACATGTCTTATTTGATCGTTGTCCTAGGTCCTCCCAGAAGCCACCCAGTCTCAGACGGCATTGGATTGTCTGAATAAAGACATGTTAGACAGTGAGAGACTGCATGATATTGCTGCAGAAGCTGCCAGACTGTCTCTTTACAACATGAGACATGTTATAACCAGCCAGGAGGTCAACTGTGCCCTGAGACTCGTCTCCAGGACACCCATGGCAGGGGACTCCAAGTAACATCTAATGTGCCTCCATTGTATTGATGGCATCAGGCCTAATATGCTTTAACATAAGATTTTATTTTAATATAAAACTTCAGAAATTATGTAAACTAAACTGTCACTTGCACTTATAAATGTTTGTTTTCTGTTAATATGAATATGTATTAAATGGACATTTTAACTTAAAGATCTCCTTTATGGGGAAGAGGGAGAAGCAACGGAATATCTAGCCTTAAAACCAAACCTTGAGCTGAACCTGACCTCAAAATATGGATGAAGAACATTGCTGGAGGAAGGGGAGCCATAGCCAACAATGGAATGTTCCTTATTGCTCCACCAGTCTATACAGAACCAGCTATGTGTAATGACTGATGTAGCCAGCTTTAGTAACAGTATCCCCTAAAATGGAATAGGGCTACCAAGTCACTGGCCCTGGGCTGTCCTTGTGAAAGGTAGCACATGTTTACTGCAGGAGTGAAACCCATGAGAGCCAGTGATGGGCTCCTTTCCTGTATAGCTGGGGTCCATGTGGGCTCAGTAACTTGGAATGGAACATTGGCTTTTATCACATGCAGAGTATTGGTAGCTCCCTGGATTGTGTGGGGCAGAGGCAATGCTGGCTCCCTGGGCTGGGTCCATCCTGCAGGGGGGTCCCTTGGGCTCTGCTATACAGAAGTAATGGCAGGCTCTCGGGTATTTCCTAAACTCAGCGCTGCTAAGGGGCCAGTTAGGTGGAGATATCCTCCCTGAGCTGCTAAATACCAAGCATTGCGTGATGGCAGCCTCTGGGCAACTGCTTAAACTGTCCCTCCTCCCCCTGAAAGCGAGCATGGTATAGCCCGCTGTCCCTTTAACTAGCAGTGCTGCCGAGTGTCCGGCAGAGGGCGCTGTGCTGCTTGTGCTATACACGTGGGAATGGCTGCTCGGTCCCGGTGTTCGCTCAGCTTCCTCCATACAGGATGGGGGTTCAGGGACCGATCCGATATACCGAGCTCCAGCCGGGGGCCGGACACACTGCTCCCTCCCTGAATGATCGGAAACCGACTGCAAGATGTACCTGCTCCATAGGAAGCCATGAATAAGGTAAGCTACCCTGAATAACCTCTCCTGTCCCTTTAACTGGCTGGATCCCTGTTACTCTCCTGTCCCTTTGGCTGGCTGGATCCCTGTTACTATCTGTAAAAACACGGGTTAAATGGGCCCAGAACTGCTTTATATAACTGGCTTGCACATACCTCCTGCTACATTTCCAAACTTCTCTTGTATTTCTGTCCTCACTAAACTTGGGTTAGTGCTGCTGGGAATGATGACAGAAAAGGCCGAATTGCAGTTCTCTCTGTAGAGCAGGACAATGACAAATCCCCTTGAAGCGAAAACTGAACTGACCTCTGCAGCTTTTTTCTAGTTTAAATAAAAGCTTCTCATTTGATCCATGGACTAGGTGTCTTTACTGCTGGATTCTATTACTCCTGTGTAAGATGTAACAATACATTTATTTCTCCATACAGGTATACTGTGGCTGGTGACTTGCTGGTCCCAATGCCAAAGCCTGCTTTATGGAGTCCATGCAAGATGATTAATGTGTAGAGCTGACCATCAGTGTAAGTACAACTTCTAGTCTGATCTGAATTGGTTGAATGTAATGTTCACTGGGGTTAAAGCCCCTGGTGCAGCCATGTTCCATAGGCTTCCTGATGTCTGGGCATGAGACATGGTACTGAGGGATGATGACATAAAAGGCCGAATTACAGAGTCTCTCCAAGCAGTTCTCTCTGTGGAAGAGGCTCGATGACAAAACTCCTTGAAGCGAACTCAAAACTGACCTCAACCAAACATGTCGTAAACTCAGAGTAACCAATAACTGTGTGAATGCCACTAATCTAGAACCCTTAATGCAGGCTTACCATTGGCTCTGTTACTATAACAGGTAACATGATGCAGAGCAAGTGCCTGGTGCAACATCACTGCTTTAGGTGTCCTGAGGCCAACTCGCAGGACTTCCTTCAACATAGCTGAGACTAGCTGCAGTTGTCTGTGGGTTTTTATTTATATATTTATTTTTTTAACCTCTGGGAGAACATGGAAACTGGTTAATATAACCACTTACTCAGCACAGACCGAAGCACATTTTATTGCTTTAAACCGGGATGTTAGAATGCTGGACTGGGCCGTACCACACAATGAGTGACTCTCAAAGATTGGCACAATTTACCATGAATAGCCTACATCTTGTATCTGTGGGACTCTTGGAGGAATTGGCAGAGCCACAAACGCTTGCTCTTTGCTTAATGCCGTTAAAGATATTTAATCCAGAGACCTCATTCTTGCAGAGGTTCCCACAGTTCAAAGACCAGGACAAGGCTTTCTCTGCTCTTATTGGAATTAATTGCTCATATTCCCCTCCCTGAATCTCATGAAGTGTCAGACTTAAAGATCTGACTTCTGTCTCTTAATCAGCCTGTTACCAAGCTATTGGCTTGGTTTGAATGTAAACTGAGTGTTATTCAGGTCCCTGGCTAAAAATAGTTTTATTTGGCTTAAAACCAAATCTAATGTCTGAACTATGACTGCCAGATTAACTGTAAATATTTTTTGCTCACTACTTTCTTTTTTTAAAAACTGTTTATTTTGTTTACAGTCATCTCAAAGGTCGTTCATCTGAGCAATATGATCCATTGTGACATCCCTGATGGTAAAATGACAAGATTCCTGGCAATTCAAGCCCCTCTAGAGTCTATTAAGACCATGCACTTCAAACTTATTTATTTCTTTTTTTCGCATTTTTATACTTTTGTGGGTTTTATTTCCTGGTAACAGAAAATAAAATATTTTGCCTAGTGCCTTCTTTGTAATTTGTTATAATAAAATGTAAACTGTAACCTCACCAATTCAGCGTAGCGACATTTTATACACTGTGTGGGAGAAGAGATGCAAGAACAGGATATATTTCTAATATGAGACCAATAATATTCAGCCTATTATAAAAGCAAAACAGAGAAGATTCGGGATATGGCTGTGTAAATCTACAGAGAAAGCATAAAACAAAACATAGTGTGATATTGTTATAAAACACAATATTTCATGCGCAGTAATCTTGTGCACTCACAGGATGTAGGCAGTAAAAGCGCTCTTAAGGTGCCTTCCCCAATGGAATGGGGGGCTAGCTGGTGTTCCTTATCACCTCTGGATCCTTGTATCACCAAAAGACATCCACAGGTCAGGGTTCAGTAATAAAAAATTTATTTAGATAAAAAGTGTAGTCACCAATTCAGCATAGGATACAAATAACAGAAGGTTGTCCTACGCGTTTCGTTCTATAAGAACTTCCTCAGGGACCACAATTAAAAACAATAATAACAATGTATCAATGTACAATACATAAACATATCCTATACACATCCCCCCTCCCTGTGTCCTTAAATAGGGCTAATCCCTAAAGTCTATTGGTGGATCCAGTAGGCGTGTAAATCCTCCTTGGTTCTAATTGGAGACTGATCTTCCTGTGGCAGCTGTTTGTCATCCATTCATTTTCCATAATTTGTAATTCGCGCCTTTTTCGGCAAATACCGGAAGTGGTCATAATTTGCCGAAACCGGAAGTGACGTCGCGGGAACGTCCGCGTTCCACATGCGTTCCACCAGTAACGTCTCCATGGCAACCGGGCGCGATCAAATCATTCAAAGGTCAAATGGAACACAGGACAAATAAAAAGCCCCATTCTGCTTGAGAAAAAAAACTGTTAACCATTTTTAACATATTTAGCCGTTATTTATGTATATATATCTGTTGAGTATCACCCTCCTCATTAATCCCATCACACAACATAATGTTAATCCTCGTATTGTACCAAGTAATCATAATACCTCAGTATATTATAAGCCTAAGGCTTCGTATTACAAAGTGATCATATTTCCTATGTCTATTATTTAAAAGGTTTTTTTTTTTTTTTATAACTTTATACATTGTTAATCAAAGTGAACACCGTAATCAATTCATCACTGTATCAGTTTAAACTTCAATTTGTCGTGTTATATATTTGTACTCCCCATAAAAATCTTTGGGATAAACCTATTAAACACATTGAAATAATCCATTGCTATAGTTACACAAAAAAAGGGGTTAGTAGATTGTGGCTACAAAATGACTACTACCCATATAAACTTTATTTAGTGAATCTACCACATTCAATTTATACCAGCTCTGAAAATCCTTAGAGCAAATCCATTATTTATATTAGAATAATCGGTTATTGTGTTTTTATTATAGTCTTTTGTGATTTTTGGTCATATAGGACAATAGATCACAAATTGTAAAAAAAGATAAAATAAAATATAAGGGATATGAAATAACTACTTGGTATTTGATATATATATAAATCCTCTCTCTAAGTAGGGATTAGCTTTCAACTGTAGAAACAACCCAAATTAAAGGCAAACACACATATCCTAACTCTTTGTTCTGAAGATTTTAGGCCATATTAATCTAGAAAACAAATTAAATCAATATCGATATTGAGACCCTTAGGTGAGAGGGTTTGTAATTTATGTATCCAATACGTGGGACGGACTAAGAGGATTTTGAAGGTTCGCCTATTAGAACATCTTAATAATATCAGAAAGAGACTGACGACACACTCAGTCCCAACCCATTGTATATCATGTCCCCTTTTTTCATTTAAGGATTTTAGATGTTGGGGAATTGAACGAGTCCACCCCTTCTGGCGTGGGGGTAATAGAGTCCAAAGACTAGCCCAGAGGGAGACGTTCTGGATACATAAATTACAAACCCTCTCACCTAAGGGTCTCAATATCGATATTGATTTAATTTGTTTTTTAGATTAATATGGCCTAAAATCTTCAGAACAAAGAGTTAGGATATGTGTGTTTGCCTTTAATTTGGGTTGTTTCTACAGTTGAAAGCTAATCCCTACTTAGAGAGAGGATTTATATATATATCAAATACCAAGTAGTTATTTCATATCCCTTATATTTTATTTTATTTCTTTTTTTACAATTTGTGATCTATTGTCCTATATGATCAAAAATCACAAAAGACTATAATAAAAACACAATAACCGATTATTCTAATATAAATAATGGATTTGCACTAAGGATTTTTAGAGCTGGTATAAATTGAATGTGGTAGATTCACTAAATAAAGTTTATATGGGTAGTAGTCATTTTGTAGCCACAATCTACTAACCCCTTTTTTTGTGTAACTATAGCAATGGATTATTTCAATGTGTTTAATAGGTTTATCCCAAAGATTTTTATGGGGAGTACAAATATATAACACGACAAATTGAAGTTTAAACTGATACAGTGATGAATTGATTACGGTGTTCACTTTGATTAACAATGTATAAAGTTATAAAAAAAAAAAAAAACCTTTTAAATAATAGACATAGGAAATATGATCACTTTGTAATACGAAGCCTTAGGCTTATAATATACTGAGGTATTATGATTACTTGGTACAATACGAGGATTAACATTATGTTGTGTGATGGGATTAATGAGGAGGGTGATACTCAACAGATATATATACATAAATAACGGCTAAATATGTTAAAAATGGTTAACAGTTTTTTTTCTCAAGCAGAATGGGGCTTTTTATTTGTCCTGTGTTCCATTTGACCTTTTGAATGACTTGATCGCGCCCGGTTGCCATGGAGACGTCACTGGTGGAACGCATGTGGAACGCGGACGTTCCCGCGATGTCACTTCCGGTTTCGGCAAATTATGACCACTTCCGGTATTTGCCGAAAAAGGCGCAAATTACAAATTATGGAAAATGAATGGATGACAAACAGCTGCCACAGGAAGATCAGTCCTCCAATTAGAACCAAGGAGGATTTACACGCCTACTGGATCCACCAATAGACTTTAGGGATTAGCCCTATTTAAGGACACAGGGAGGGGGGATGTGTATAGGATATGTTTATGTATTGTACATTGATACATTGTTATTATTGTTTTTAATTGTGGTCCCTGAGGAAGTTCTTATAGAACGAAACACGTAGGACAACCTTCTGTTATTTGTATCCTATGCTGAATTGGTGACTACACTTTTTATCTAAATAAATTTTTTATTACTGAACCCTGACCTGTGGATGTCTTTTGGTGATACAAGGATCCAGAGGTGATAAGGAACACCAGCTAGCCCCCCATTCCATTGGGGAAGGCACCTTAAGAGCGCTTTTACTGCCTACATCCTGTGAGTGCACAAGATTACTGCGCATGAAATATTGTGTTTTATAACAATATCACACTATGTTTTGTTTTATGCTTTCTCTGTAGATTTACACAGCCATATCCCGAATCTTCTCTGTTTTGGTTTATACTATATATGATATAGGTCGCTTGTTTGGGTAACGACCTAGGGAGGCTGTCATACATCTTTATAAGCTAAGTACTATTGCTTTTTATATTATTTATCGATTGTATATTGTTTGGGATATACTTATAAGCTATTATTATAAAAGCAAGACTGTCTAGTAGTCTCCTGGGAGATGTGCCTAGTGAGTCCCAACAACTTAATGTAGTAAAGCGGTTAAACTTATTTTTTATTTTTATTTTTGTCCCCCACCCTGAATAGCTCTGACAAAATACTACAATTTTCAGTCTGTCTGGTGTAGTGACTGAACTTAATAGAAAATAGCTTGCACCTAACCAAGATTAGCAAAGTGTAGGAAGTTCTTACCGTCTGATGTCCTGAGCTCCACTCTGCAGTGAAGTAACCGAAAATAAGCAGTTGATTCATTGGATCGTAAGAACTTAATCTGGCAAAAATTTGTTTTAAAATGGCTGGCTAATTAGGGGGGAGAAGGACTTGTAGTTGTCATGTGTCCTTAAGGGGTTAAACTCTTATGGCCTTCTAAATTTTTAGAGATCTGTCTTCTCCTGGGGTTACTAACTGGTCTGCATCGTCAAGTGGTAGGGGAAGCTGGTAAAACAAACTCTCCATCTTTCACTTTAGGATAGGTGAGCTGTGATCTTGGGGAAACAGATCCTTACTAGCAAGCTGGAAAACCTGATTCTGTCTCTCTAAATGTGTGGGTTTTATATATAATTTAATTTTTTTTTTTTTAAATCAAACACTGTTTAGTTAAAATTTTTGACCAAGGTAAGACCAGAGGAGCAGACTGGCCATGCTTAGTAGACACGACAGCCCAGACTAAAATGTGCCCCAGCTGAATTTGTCTAGTTTGGTCATATTCTTTGTTACACTCCATTTCTGTGACAGATGGACAGGGGAGCAATTACCCTTGCTGCCACATATACAAGCCTTCCATGGGGTTTATTTACTGACGCTAAACTCCAGTGAATTGAAAAACAAATTACTAAATTCAGTAGAAATGCAGCAATTCTGCTACGGTCTCAGCTTGGATGTTTCTGCGCACAGTTGGCTGATCACAACTGGATGTTTGGGGAACAAGTATTTGCCAAAGTGTAGCTCTCACATCTCACCCTGCAAGTATGTTGTACGCATGTAATTTCACAAGACACCATGTTGAGTTGGTGGTCAGAACAACAAACATTTCATCCTGTGTCCCCTGCAGCCGCTTGCCATCCTGGATGGATCAGCTGGGAAGAGAATAGAAGATGGTTTCCTCAGGTGTGTGTGGGTTTCTTTTTTAAAATACAAAGAAAAATTAAAGGATCATTATAGAGTCAGGAACACAAAGATGTATTCCTGACCCTACAGTGTTAACAGTACCATCTAGCCCCTCATGCCTCCATAAATACAGTAAATCTTACTGTATCCAAGCTTGCAGCTTTAAATCTGCATGCTGTTAGACTCAGGAAAAACAAGCAGTCTGCTGATGTGGTAGCGTGATCCAATCACAGTGCTTCCCCATAGGATTGGCTGAAACTGACAAAGAGCCAGCATGATTCAAACACAGCCCTGGCCAATCAGCATCTCCTCATAGAGATGAATTGAATCAATGAATATCTTAGGAAGGTTCAGTGTCTGCTTGCAGAGGGAGGAGATACCGAATCACAGGATGCTGTGCACAGTGCTGCCCTGTGCTTGGCTGCAAGCAGATCTGAGTGGATGGAGGCATATTATGCCTCCATCAACTCCAAAGTCCCTCTGGTTCACTCTGACTGCAACTGGAGGTGTTCCTAGCTTTCAATGTAAACACTATTTTCTCAGAAAATTGTGTTTACATGAGAGGCTGCAGGGAGCTATATCATTAAGCTGAAGTTGTTCAGGTGACTATAGTGTCCCTTTAATTTGTATAAATCAAGGACACAATTAGGTATGTTCAAAATATTGTCCTAATGAGACCAGAAAAGGAGAAAGTATAGATCAATCTGTGTATAGGTACAGACAATACAATGAACGTGGAAAAAGTGTGAAAAAATAAATGAAATAAAGTGTTCATTAACAATGAAAGGGAATATTTACAAAGAATGAGGTTCAGAGATTGGTGCAGAGATCGGTTCCTACGAAACAGATAAGGGGATTTAGCTCTATATTGCTTGATTACACCGATCTCTAAACCACACTTTTTCCACATTGTTCATTGAATTATCTGTACCTTCTCATTTTCTTGTCACACTAGGACAATATTTTGAACATACCTTGTGTCCATGAGTTATACTAATTATTGAAATACTTTCCCCCTCCCTCCCCTTTTTTAACATAACAATAAAGGTGAAGTTTTAGAAATTGTATTAATATTTCATCATCATCTTGTTTGGTCAGTGATTTCTCTCTAAATTTGCAGTCCTGTATGTAGCAGTCATATGCTGTAGAAAGAATGGATCGCCAGCTCTAATTGGCTTGATTTGTGAACTTTCCTTTCTGAAGCACTTTTCATGCTCTGCCCATCAGCAGGAACATTTTTTTTTTTGTAACTTTCTTTTTATTTAAAATAAAACGATTACTAAACGATTGGTATCACAGTGGAAGACGCAGGTTCCTTGCATTGCAAACACATGAATCTTGCATCACAGTATAACAAGATTATATAGCATCATAAATATCTCAAGTGCTCTCAGTTCAATTTAACAAACTAAAACTCCTGAGTCTCAAGCTCCCCACCAAGCCCTGGGTACCCTCCCCCCTCCAGAATCCCGACCTAAAAAAACTCTATGGTGTGGACGCATTGCCCCTCCCGACCAGTCGCGGATCCCCGGGCCCCCCTCCTCCCGGGATCCTCTCTGCAACATCCCCCCTCTCCGTGGCACCCCTCCATCCTCCAGGTAATGGTCCCGGAAGAAATTGATTAAAGGGACACTCCAGGCACCCAGACCACTTCTGCCCACTACCCTTAACCCTGCAACTGTAATTATTGCAGTTTTTATAAACTGCAATAATTACCTTGTGGGGTTAACTCCCTCTTTAGTGGCTGTCTACTAGACAGCCACTAGAGGGCACTTCCTGCTTCATAGCACAGGTTTTCTGTGCTAGAGCGTCGCTGTACGTCCTCACGCTGTGTGAGGATCTCCAGCATCGCTACATTCCCCATAGGAAAGCTTCAATGCTTTACTATGGAGAGCTCTAATGCGCATGCGCGGCATTGCCGCACATGCGCATTAGGTCTCCTCAGCCGGCGGGTGGGATCAGTCTCGACTGCCGGCTGATGTAATGAAGAGGAAGAGCGGCGGCGACCCGAAACCACTGCCGAGGGACATTGGCCGGGGGTCTCAAGTAAGTCACTGAAGGGGTTTTCACCCCTTCAGCAACCGGGGTTGGGAGGTGGGAGGGAGAGGGGACCTGCAGTGCCAGGAAAATAGAATGTTTTCCTAGCACAGGAGAGTCCCTTTAAGTTAGTCCAGGAAATCATGATAAATATGACAACATTGGTGAATTTTACATTATATAGCTATAAATTTGCAGCCCCGCTCCCATGTTTTTCCAGGATCCGTATTATATTGAAGCCTTGCAGTATGTAGAATTCATATGCGGCAGGAGGGAATCCAGTTAAGTATTTCCAGTGGAACACTGGTTCCCTTCTGCGGCATATTAATTCTGCAGGCCAGCACTTTTCATGTCTTACCTATTTAATTAAGGAAGGTAATTACATCTAAGAAAATAGTAGACGTCCGTAGAAATCACTGAATCAATCGGTCTGGGGTTTACGTAACAGACCGATTTGTTCAGTGCAAATAGAGTGTATCTGATGACGTTACACAACGTTCTATTCACTTAACAACGAATTGGGAAGGCTTAGAGCAGGCTTCACCAAACGCCGGCCCCTAAGATGTTGCTGAACTACAACTCCCATGATTCTCAGCCTATCTATTTCATTCATAGAATCATGGGAGTTGTAGTTCAGCAACATCTAGAGGGCTGGAGTTTGGAAAGCCTGGCTTTGAAACATACAGACATTGATAAAATGAGGACCTTTCATTTCAGTCCTGCTATTTGTGGTCTCAATGTTGCAAATTAGTTGCCAAGACGACATAACTGCCCCTGATGTCTGCTAATTGGGATAATTGAGTCCCAGCTGTGCATAGTGATCCAATGATTAATGGGCGGTCCCAGCTGGGGTGGGTATAAAGTCTGAGCACTGAAGGTAGGAAAGTTACAGCCTGGTGTTTGTTGTTTTGGTGAGTTAGTGGCTGTTGGATGGGTGTATTTGGTTTTCAGTAATCTTGCAATTCTGGGGTTTATGTTTGATAGTCAGCAGATGTTCAGTTTTTGTTTGGTTTTTTTTTTTTGTATAATTTTGTTATTCTGCAATAATCAGTGTGCATTGGAGGAAACTCTCTAACCTTCTTACATAGCTGTGAACTGTCCAGAAAATACTCGTCTTTACATGTTTTGTGTCCTGTAGACCATGGCTTAAGGTGTGCATTATATGAAAATATCTAGACCTCTCTGTAAGGCATCCTGGAATAAGTACCATGTGTCTTATTAAACCCATTATGTGCTGTAACTGTCTGATCCATGCAGTGGCTCATGGGCAAGGAGTCACTGGCTTTCTAGAACTAATTCCTGTATTTGCTAAAACCCTTTCTGTTACAATGCAATAGAACTCTCTATCCTATAAAACGTTGTATCTAGCTCTCATGGGAACTCGTGAGTTACTGGCAAGACCAGAGAAGCTATGCTTTCTTAAACTGCATATTGGTCACACTTGTTCATGGAATGAACTACATATTCCACATGCTTTGTCAGCATTCTGGGAGATGTAGTCCACAATATCTGGAATGCTGAAGGTTGTCTACCTCTGGCATAGTGGGTATAGTATCCTGCTGAGAACTGGTAGGCCTGGCTTGGCAGTCTCTCTGTATGTATGTGTTGAGCAAACACTGCCTTGGTGGGATTTTAAATGTTCACTTGTCAGGGACAGGCCCTCTTTACCATTAGTACACACCTGGGATGATGCCTTTGCTCTCCCTCTCCCTGTATTGATATATATTGGTGTGATCTGTCTTCTAGATCTTTATAGCTGAGATGAAACCTGTTGTAGCCAAGAAGTCAGCCGCAGCTGCCTGTGGCAGTATGCAAGCCTTGCCAGTAATGGTGAAACCCAAAAAGAGCTACTCCAAACATGTCTACAGGATTGTAAAGCAGGTAGGTAGTCCTACTCAACTGTACCCTAAGGTATAAATTCTTTATCCACTGCAGGGCCTTGCAATATGACCCTGGGATGCCATTAATGAGGATTATGGAGTAAAATCCATATTGCAAAGAACTGGCGCTCTATACCAGAATGAAGTTAGGATTATTAGACTTGGCTGATGAAATAACTGTCAGTTTGTAGTTGGCTCATATTACAGGAGAATATGTATATAAAAACAAAGGCTGTGTAATTCTTGGCCTCTATTACTGCTGATGGGCAGAGCATGAAAAGTGGTACCCTGTAGTCCTATAGCATTCCTACACTGATGGCTAATCCATTTAAATAACCTGTCCCATTAACTGACGAACTTATCCTTGTATTGGTAGCTTTAATAACTGTTAAGATAATGCCCCATCTGGGCAGCTGGCTCTGTTTGGGGGCACTCTCCCAAGCATCGTACTACCTTCAAAGATGCCAACATGCTGCTGTTACACACAGAACCTCTCAGAACAGTGATACATCACACCATCCTCTGACCTTTAATGGTTCTGGAGTCTGACTCAATGTATCATGTTGGCTTAACATGTCTTATTTGATTGCTGTCCTAGGTCCTTCCAGAAGCCACCCAGTCTCAGACGGCGTTGGATTGTCTGAATAAAGACATGTTAGACAATGACAGACTGCATGATATTGCTGCAGAAGCTGCCAGACTGTCTCTTTACAATATGAGACATGCTATAACCAGCAAGGAGGTCAACTGTGCCCTGAGACTCGTCTCCAGGACACCCATGGCAGGGGACTCCATGTAACATGTAATGTGCCTCCATTCTATTGATGGCATCAGGCCTAATATGCTTTAACATAGAATTTTATTTTAATATAAATGATGTAAACTAAATTGTCATTTGAACTTCTAAATGTTTGTTTTCTGTTAATATGAATATGTATTAAAGGGACATTTTAACTTAAAGATCTCCTTTATGGGGAAGAGGGAGAAGCAACGGGATATCTAGCGTTAAAACCAAACCTTGAGCTGAACTTGACCACAAAATATGGGTTATGTATGAAGAACATTGCTGGAGGAAGGGGAGCCATAGCCAACAATGGAATGTTCCTTATTGCTCCACCAGTCTATACAGAACCAGCTATGTGTAATGACTCATGTAGCCAGCTTTAGTAACAGTATCCCCTAAAATGGAATAGGGCTACCAAGTCACTGGCCCTGGGCTGTCCTTGTGAAAGGTAGCACATGTTTACTGCAGGAGAGAAAACCCATGAGAGCCAGTGATGGGCTCCTTTCCTGTATAGCTGGGGTCCATGTGGGCTCAGTAACTTGGAATGGAACATTGGCTTTTATCACATGCAGAGTATTGGTAGTTCCCTGGATTGTGTGGGGCAGAGGCAATGCTGGCTCCCTGGGCTGGGTCCATCCTGCAGGGGGGTCCCTTGGGCTCTGCTATACAGAAGTAATGGCAGGCTCTCGGGTATTTCCTAAACTCAGCGCTGCTAAGGGGCCAGTTAGGTGGAGATATCCTCCCTGAGCTGCTAAATACCAAGCATTGCGTGATGGCAGCCTCTGGGCAACTGCTTAAACTGTCCCTCCTCCCCCTGAAAGCGAGCATGGTATAGCCCGCTGTCCCTTTAACTAGCAGTGCTGCCGAGTGTCCGGCAGAGGGCGCTGTGCTGCTTGTGCTATACACGTGGGAATGGCTGCTCGGTCCCGGTGTTCGCTCAGCTTCCTCCATACAGGATGGGGGTTCAGGGACCGATCCGATATACCGAGCTCCAGCCGGGGGCCGGACACACTGCTCCCTCCCTGAATGATCGGAAACCGACTGCAAGATGTACCTGCTCCATAGGAAGCCATGAATAAGGTAAGCTACCCTGAATAACCTCTCCTGTCCCTTTGGATCCCTGTTACTCTCCTGTCCCTTTGGCTGGCTGGATCCCTGTTACTCTCCTGTCCCTTTGGCTGGCTGGATCCCTGTTACTCTCCTGTCCCTTTGGCTGGCTGGATCCCTGTTACTCTCCTGTCCCTTTAACTGGCTGGCTGGATCCCTGTTACTCTCCTGTCCCTTTGGCTGGCTGGATCCCTGTTACTATCTGTAAAAACACGGGTTAAATGGGGCCCAGAACTGCTTTATATAACTAGCTTGCACATAGCTCCTGCTACATTTCCAAACTTCTCTTGTATTTCTGTCCTCACTAAACTTGGGTTAGTGCTGCTGGGAATGATGACAGAAAAGGCCGAATTGCAGTTCTCTCTTTAGAGCAGGACAATGACAAATCCCCTTGAAGCGAAAACTGAACTGACCTCTGCAGCTTTTCTCTAGTTTAAATTAAAGCTTCTCATTTGATCCATGGACTAGGTATCTTTACTGCTGGATTCTATTACTCCTGTGTAAGATGTAACAATACATTTATTTCTCCATACAGGTATACTGTGGCTGGTGACTTGCTGGTCCCAATGCCAAAGCCTGCTTTATGGAGTCCATGCAAGATGATTAATGTGTAGAGCTGACCATCAGTGTAAGTACAACTTCTAGTCTGATCTGAATTGGATGAATGTAATGTTCACTGGGGTTAAAGCCCCTGGTGCAGCCATGTTCCATAGGCTTCCTGATGTCTGGGCATGAGACATGGTACTGAGGGATGATGACATAAAAGGCCGAATTACAGAGCCTCTCCAAGCAGTTCTCTCTGTGGAAGAGGCTCGATGACAAAACTCCTTGAAGCGAACTCAAAACTGACCTCAACCAAACATGTCTTAAACTCTTACAGAGTAACCAATAACTGTGTGAATGCCACTAATATAGAACCCTTAATGCAGGCTTACCATTGGCTCTCCGTTACTATAATGGGTAACATGATGCAGAGCAAGTGCCTGGTGCGACATCACTGCTTTAGGTGTCCTGAGGCCAACTCGCAGGACTTCCTTCAACATAGCTGAGACTAGCTGCAGTTGTCTGTGGGTTTTTTAAACCTCTGGGAGAACATGGAAACTGAGTGAGTGGTTAATATAACCACTTACTCCGCACAGACCTGAAGCACATTTTATTGCTTTAAACTGGGATGTAAGAATGCTAGACTGGGCCGTACCACACAATGAGTGACTCTGAAAGATTGGCACAATTTACCATGAATAGCCTACAACTTGTATCTGTGGGACTGTTGGAGGAATTGGCAGAGCCACCAACGTTTGCTCTTTGCTTAATGCCATTAAAGATATCTAATCCAAAGACCTCATTCTTGCAGAGGTTCCCACAGTTCAAAGACCAGGACAAGGCTTTCTCTGCTCTTATTGGCATTAATTGCTCATATTCCCCTCCCTGAATCTCATGAAGTGTCAGACTTAAAGATCTGACTTCTGTCTCTTAATCAGCCTGTTACCAAGCTATTGGCTTGGTTTGAATGTAAACTGAGTGTTATTCAGGTCCCTGGCTAAAAATAGTTTTATTTGGCTTAAAACCAAATCTAATGTCTGAACTATGACTGCCAGATTAACTGTAAATATTTTTTGCTCACTACTTTCTTTTTTTAAAAACTGTTTATTTTGTTTACAGTCATCTCAAAGGTCGTTCATCTGAGCAATATGATCCATTGTGACATCCCTGATGGTAAAATGACAAGATTCCTGGAAATTCAAGCCCCTCTAGAGTCTATTAAGACCATGCACTTCAATTAAAACAGATTTCTTTTTATTTAAATAAATGTTTCGAATTTTATACTTTTGTGGGTTTTATTTCCTGGTAACAGAAAATAAAATATTTTGCCTAGTGCCTTCATTGTAATTTGTTATAATAAAATTTAAACTGTAACCTCACCAATTCAGCATAGCGATATTTTATACATTGTGGGAGAAGAGATGCAAGAACAGGATATATTTCTAATGAGACCAATAATACTCAGCCTATTATAAAAGCCAGACTGTCTAGTAGTCTCCTGGGAGATGTGCCTAGTGAGTCCAACAACTTAATGTAGTAAAGCGGTTAAACTTATTTATTTTTGTCCCCCACCCCAAATAGCTCTGACAAAATACTACAATTTTCAGTCTGGCTGGTGTAGTGACTAAACTTTTATAGAAAATAACTTGCAGATAACCAAGATTAGCAAAGTGTAGGAAGTTTTTATTGTCTGATGTCCTGAGCTCCACTCTGCAGTGAAGTAACCTAAAATAAGCAGTTGATTCATTGGATCGTAAGAACTTAATCTGGCAAAAATTTGTCTTAAAATGGCTAATTAGGGGGGAGAAGGACTTGTAGTTAACCCCTTAAGGACCAAACTTCTGGAATTAAAGGGAATCCTGATATGTCATGTGTCCTTAAGGGGTTAAACTCTTATGGCCTTCTAAATTTTTAGAGATCTGTGTTCTCCTGGGGTTACTAACTGGTCTGCATCGTCAAGTGGTAGGGGAAGCTGGTAAAACAAACTCCTATCTTTCACTTTAGGATAGGTGAGCTGTGATCTTGGGGAAACAGATCCTTACTAGCAAGCTGGAAAACCTGATTCTGTCTCTCTAAATGTGTGGGTTTTATATATAATTTAATTTTTTTTTTTTTTTTAAATCAAACACTGTTTAGTTAAAATTTTTGACCAAGGTAAGACCAGAGGAGCAGACTGGCCATGCTTAGTAGACACGACAGCCCAGACTAAAATGTGCCTCAGCTGAATTTGTCTAGTTTGGTCATATTCTTTGTTACACTCCATTTCTATGACAGGGGAGCAATTACCCTTGCTGCCACATATACGCTAAACTCCAGTGAATTGAAAAACATACTAAATTCAGTAGAAATGCGGCAATTCTGCTACGGTCGCAGCTTGGATGTTTCTTCGCACAGTTGGCTGATCACAACTGGATGTTTAGGGAACAAGTATTTGCCAAAGTGTAGCTCTCACATCTCACCCTGCAAGTATGTTGCACGCATGTAATTTCACAAGACACAATGTTGAGTTGGTGGTCAGAACAACCACTTCATCCTGTGTCCCCAGCAGCCGTTTGCCATCCTGGATGGATCGATCAGCTGGGAAGAGAATAGATTTCCTCAGGTGTTTTTACAACTAAAAAATTAAAGGATCACTATAGGGTCAGGAACACAAACGTATTCCTGACCCTACAGTGTTAACAGCACCATCTAGCCCCTCATTCCTCCATAAATATAGTAAATCTTACTGTATCCAAGCCTGCAGCTGTAAATCTGCATGCTGTTAGACTCAGGAAAAACAAGCAGTCTGCTGATGTGGTAGCCTGATCCAATCACAGTGCTTCCCCATAGGATTGGCTGAAACTGACAGAGCCAGTATGATTCAAACACAGCCCTGGCCAATCAGCATCTCCTCGTAGAGATGAATTGAATCAATGAATATCTTAGGAAAGTTCAGTGTCTGCTTGCAGAGGGAGGAGACACTGAATCACAGGATGCTACGCACAGTGCTGCCCTGTGCTCGACTGAAAGCAGATCTGAGTGGATGGAGGCATATTATGCCTCCATCAACTCCAAAGTCCCTCTGGTTCACTGTGAGTGACTGCAACTGGAGGTGTTCCTAGCTTTCAATGTAAACACTGTATTTCCTCAGAAAATTGTGTTTACATGAGAGGCTGCAGGGAGCTATATCATTAAGCTGAAGTTGTTCAGGTGACTATAGTGTCCCTTTAATTTGTATAAATCAAGGACACAATTAGGTATGTTAAAAATATTGTCCTGGGGGCGGGGCCTGACCGGGGAGCTGAACAGACACGCTTTCTGTGAGCTCCCAGGCCTGAATCAGATTTTTGGCAGAAAACAGTGGGAATACAGCCTATCTCAGAACCCCAACTTACCCCACCTTGCTACATGGAGGCAGGGGTACCGGGGGACACCTCACACGTGCAAAAGCCCGCTGGGAATCAAGACCGGAGGCTTGGGGCCTACAACATGCAGAGCAGGGGAGAGACGGCCGCTCTCCCGGCTCACCTAACAAGGCGGCACCCGAAGCATCGGGCTTCTCCCCCCCCCTCGGGACCGGCGGGGGTTATCCCGGTCCACACAATCGAGTACCACAAGATTACACGGAATGCAGAAGACGGCAGCAGCCTAAATCGCATCCCCAACCAGCAAACTGCTAGTGACAAGATGGAGACCGAAATGGCCGCCGCCACGTGTGCCCGAGGCACAAAGAAACTTGACCTTGAGACCAGGCTGGATGAGCTGTTTGCCAGGTTCTGGAGGACAATAGCCTCCAGGGAGCAACAGGCCAAGGCATACCACCCTGTCACAGTCCTGCCGGTGATCCCCCAACAAACGTGCACACCGCCTCGCGCCAACAAAGCCTGCGGATGGCAAAACCGAAAAGCCCGTAAACCCAAGCGACTACCAATACCTATGGCGGCGACCCGCTCATACAAGGGCCCGGCAAAACTTAACATACCTAGGAGGCATGAAAAGGCGGTCACGCTGCAGCGACACACTGCGCTAAACGGGGACCGGACCGCAACACCCCTACCGACAACACTCGGAGGTAGGCCCTGGCATACCTCGGAGGCGACACCACAGCCGGCGACACATCACCTCACGCAGACTCTTTCACGTTGGCAGGTCCACCCCACCGGAATGGGGCCATGCCTATATCAACGCAGAGACCCCATGCATCGAACGAAGAGGCTGGACACTCTATAACACCAAGAAGATCCCTGCAACCAGACTGCACGCCCTGAGAGCTGGAGTTGGCTAGGGGACTTGACCGACATAGCGGACATACCTAACCGCAGACAGTGGAGGACTCTATTTATGACAAGAGTGTAAATATGTACCTTCATTTTTTTTTACGAGTTGCATTTATTATGTTATTCAACTTTCTTTTGCTCCATGTATGCCCCACAACTGCACCTACACACTTAATGTAAAGCCAGCGCCACTGCCGCCAACTAAACACTAAGCCCAATGTCCCATTGGTGCTGGGCACTTGCATACAGCAACCCGGCATGGCACATGGCTCTGTCAACGCTAGGGACCATGGGGGGAATGCCACTTGGGATGCAGCAATCACCTACCAAGCCTCTCCGAGTATAACCTCGATACCCTGCCACCAGAGTTGGTCCAGCACACTTATCCGTGTGACCACTAATCTATAGCCTTAATGGCTAGGAAGGTTCTAGTTACTCATAAGCTAAACACCCACGTATAGGTAGACATACCAGCCTGCCATGATGGTGTCCAACCCGACACGTTACTAACTTATGTCAGCTATGTCACAGCATATCTTACCACCATATCTCCTGCTGCTGCCACTAGCAATAACCAATCTTTTGACTCACTCAGCCTTTCCTTAACGCATGTAGTAACTTACTCATAGCTTGACCATCTCTTGCCACTGCAAAATAATCACATGCCCAGAAAGTTATGTTATGCAAACGTTATGCAAATGCCTAAACAAAGTAAAGCTATACTGTTTCTACCCTTATATATAAAAAATGTGCTTGATCTCCCTTGTACCCCTATGTTCCACTGTTCGTATTGTGCTAGAGGAATGCCTTTGGGGTACCTCACATGCAACTGTTATATGCCTATGCACTACAAAAATAAAGAATTAATAAAAAATAAAAAAAAATATTGTCCTAATGAGACCAGAAAAGGAGAAAGTATAGATCAATCTGTGTATAGGTACAGACAATACAATGAACAACGTGGAAAAAGTGTGAAAAAATAAATGAAATAAAGTGTTCATTAACAATGAAAGGGAATATTTACAAAGAATGAGGTTCAGAGATTGGTGCAGAGATCGGTTCCTACGAAACAGATAAGGGGATTTAGCTCTATATTGCTTGATTACACCGATCTCTAAACCACACTTTCCACATTGTTCATTGTATTATCTGTACCTTCTCATTTTCTTGTCACACTAGGACAATATTTTGAACATACCTTGTGTCCATGAGTTATTCTAATTATTGAAATACTTTCCCCCTCCCCTTTTTTAACATAACAATAAAGGTGAAGTTTTAGAAATTGTATTAATATTTCATCATCTTGTTTGGTCAGTGATTTCTCTCTAAATTTGCAGTCCTGTATGTAGCAGTCATATGCTGTAGAAAGAATGGATCACCAGCTCTAATTGGCTTGATTTGTGAACTTTCCTTTCTAAAGCACTTTTCATGCTCTGCAGATCCGCAGGAACATTTGTTTTTGTAACTTTCTTTTTATTTAAAATAAAACGATTACTAAATGATTGGTATCACAGTGGAAGGCGCAGGTTCCTTGCATTGCAAACACATGAATCTTGCATCACAGTATAACGATTATATAGCATCATAAATATCTCAAGTGCTCTCAGTTCTGTGCTGCATGTTTAGTAAAAAGTACAAAATAAACAATTTAACAAACTAAAACTCAAGCCCAGGGTACCCTCCCCCCTCCAGAATCCCGACCTAAAAAAACTCTATGGTGTGGACGCAGAGCCCCTCCCGACCAGCCACGGATCCCCAGGCCCCCCTCCTCCCGGGATCCTCTCTGCAACATCCCCCCTCTCCGTGGCACCCCTCCATCCTCCAGGTAATGGTCCCGGAAGAAAGTGGTTAAAGGGACACTCCAGGCACCCAGACCACTTCTGCCCACTACCCTTAACCCTGCAACTGTAATTATTGCAGTTTTTATAAACTGCAATAATTACCTTGCGGGGTTAACTCCCTCTTTAGTGGCTGTCTACTAGACAGCCACTAGAGGGCACTTCCTGCTTCATAGCACAGGTTTTCTGTGCTAGAGCGTCGCTGTACGTCCTCACACTGTGTGAGGATCTCCAGCATCGCTACATTCCCCATAGGAAAGCTTCAGTGCTTTCCTATGGAGAGCTCTAATGCGCATGCGCGGCATTGCCGCACATGCGCATTAGGTCTCCTCAGCCGGCGGGTGGGATCAGTCTCGACTGCCGGCTGACGTAATGAAGAGGAGGAGCGGCGGCGACCCGAAACCACCGCCGAGGGACATTGGCCGGGGGTCTCAAGTAAGTCACTGAAGTGTTTTTTTACCCCTTCAGCAACCGGGGTTGGGAGGTGGGAGGGAGAGGGGACCTGCAGTGCCAGGAAAACGGATTGTTTTCCTAGCACAGGAGAGTCCCTTTAAGTTAGTCCAGGAAATCATGATGAATATGGCAACATTGGTGAATTTTACATTATATAGCTATAAATTTGCAGCCCCGCTCCCATGTTTCTCCTGGATCCGTATTATATTGAAGCCTTGCAGTATGTAGAATTCATAAGCGGCAGGAGGGAATTCAGTTAAGTATTTCCAGTGGAACACTGGTTCCCTTCTGCAGCATATTAATTCTGCAGGCCAGCACTTTTCATGTCTTACCTATTTAATTAAGGAAGGTAATTACATCTAAGAAAATAGTAGACGTGCGTAGAAATCACCGAATCAATCGGTCTGGGGTTTACGTGACAGACCGATTTGTTCAGTGCAAATAGAGTGGATCTGATGACGTTACACAACGTTCTACTCACTTAACAACGAATTAGGAAGGCTTAGAGCAGGCTTCACCAAACTCTGGCCCTTAAGATGTTGCTGAACTACAACTCCCATGATTCTCAGCCTATCTATTTCATTCATAGAATCATGGGAGTTGTAGTTCAGCAACATCTAGAGGGCTGGAGTTTGGAAAGCCTGGCTTTGAAACATACAGACATTGATAAAATGAGGACCTTTCATTCCAGTCCTGCTATTTGTGGCCTCAATGTTGCAAATTAGTTGCCAAGACGACATAACTGCCCCTGATGTCTGTTAATTGGGATAATTGAGTCCCAGCTGTGCATAGTGATCCAATGATTAATGGGCAGTCCCAGCTGGGGTGGGTATAAAGTCTGAGCACTGAAGGTAGGTAAGTTATAGCCTGGTGCTTGTTGTTTTGGTGTATTTGGTTTTCAGTAATCTTGCAATTCTGGGGTTTATGTTTGATAGTCAGCAGATGTTCAGTTTTTGTTTGGTTTTTTTTGTATAATTTTGTTATTCTGCAATAATCAGTGTGCATTGGAGGAAACTCTCTAACCCTTCTTACATAGCTGTGAACTGTCCAGAAAATACTCGTCTTTACATGTTTTGTGTCCTGTAGACCATGGCTTGAGGTGTGCATTATATGAAAATATCTAGACCTCTCTATAAGGCATCCTGGAATAAGTACCATGTGTCTTATTAAACCCATTATGTGCTGTAACTATGTCTGATCCATGCAGTGGGTCATGGGCAAGGAGTCACTGGTTTTCTAGAACTAATTCCTGTATTAGCTAAAACCCTTTCTGCTACAATGCAATAGAACTCTCTATCCTTTAAGACTTTGTATCTAGCTCTCATGGGAACTCGTGAGTTACTGGCAAGACTAGAGAAGCTATGCTTTCTTAAACTGCATATTGGTCACACTTGTTCATGGAATGAACTACATATTCCACATGCTTTGTCAGCATTCTGGGAGATGTAGTCCACAATATCTGGAATGCTGAAGGTTGTCTACCTCTGGCATAGTGGGTATAGTATCGTGCTGAGAACTGGTAGGCCTGGCTTGGCAGTCTCTCTGTATGTATGTGTTGAGCAAACACTGCCTTGGTGGGATTTTAAATGTTCACTTGTCAGGGACAGGCCCTCTTTACCAATAGTACACACCTGGGATGCCTTTGCTCTCCCCCTCCCTGTATTGATATAGATTGGTGTGATCTGTCTTCTAGATCTTTATAGCTGAGATGAAACCTGTTGTAGCCAAGAAGTCAGCCGCAGCTGCCTGTGGCAGTATGCAAGCCTTGCCAGTAATGGTGAAACCCAAAAAGAGCTACTCCAAACATCTCTACAGGATTGTAAAGCAGGTAGGTAGTCCTATTCAACTGTACCCTAAGGAATAAATTCTTTATCCACTGCAGGGCCTTGCAATATGACCCTGGGATGCCATTAATGAGGATTCTGGAGTAAAATCAGTATTGCAAAGAACTGGAGCTCTATGCCAGAATGGTGGAGTTAGGATTATTAGACTTGGCTGACGAAATAACTGTCAGTTTGTAGTTGGCTCATATTACAGGAGAATATGTATATAAAAACCAAGGCTGTGTAATTCTTGGCCTCTATTATTGCTGATGGGCAGAGCATGAAACGTGGTACCCTGTAGTCCTATAGCATTCCTACACTGATGGCTAATCCATTTAAATAACCTGTCCCATTAACTGACGGACTTATCCTTGTATTGGTAGCTTTAATAACTGTTAAGATAATGCCCCATCTGGGCAGCTGGCTCTGTTTGGGGGCACTCTCCCAAGCATCGTACTACCTTCAAAGATGCCAACATGCTGCTGTTACACACAGAACCTCTCAGAACAGTGATACATCACACCATCCTCTGACCTTTAATGGCTCTGGAGTCTGACTCAATGTATCATGTTGGGTTAACATGTCTTATTTGATTGCTGTCCTAGGTCCTTCCAGAAGCCACCCAGTCTCAGACGGCGTTGGATTGTCTGAATAAAGACATGTTAGACAGTGAGAGACTGCATGATATTGCTGCAGAAGCTGCCAGACTGTCTCTTTACAACATGAGACATGCTATAACCAGCCAGGAGGTCAACTGTGCCCTGAGACTCGTCTCCAGGACACCCATGGCAGGGGACTCCAAGTAACATCTAATGTGCCTCCATTGTATTGATGGCATCAGGCCTAATATGCTTTAACATCGAATTTTATTTTAATATAAATCTTCAGAAATGATATAAACTAAATTGTCATTTGAACTTATAAATGTTTGTTTTCTGTTAATATGAATATGTATTAAAGGGACATTTTAACTTAAAGATCTCCTTTTATGGGGAAGAGGGAGAAGCAACGGGATATCTAGCGTTAAAACCAAACCTTGAGCTGAACCTGACCACAAAATATGGGTTATGTATGAAGAACATTGCTGGAGGAAGGGGAGCCATAGCCAACAATGGAATGTTCCTTATTGCTCCACCAGTCTATACAGAACCAGCTATGTGTAATGACTGATGTAGCCAGCTTTAGTAACAGTATCCCCTAAAATGGAATAGGGCTACCAAGTCACTGGCCCTGGGCTGTCCTTGTGAAAGGTAGCACATGTTTACTGCAGGAGTGAGAGCCAGTGATGGGCTCCTTTCCTGTATAGCTGGGGTCCATGTGGGCTCAGTAACTTGGAATGGAACATTGGCTTTTATCACATGCAGAGTATTGGTAGCTCCCTGGATTGTGTGGGGCAGAGGCAATGCTGGCTCCCTGGGCTGGGTCCATCCTGCAGGGGGGTCCCTTGGGCTCTGCTATACAGAAGTAATGGCAGGCTCTCGGGTATTTCCTAAACCCAGCGCTGCTAAGGGGCCAGTTAGGTGGAGATATCCTCCCTGAGCTGCTAAATACCAAGCATTGCGTGATGGCAGCCTCTGGGCAACTGCTTAAACTCTCCCTCCTCCCCCTGAAAGCGAACATGGTATAGCCCGCTGTTCCTTTAACTAGCAGTGCTGCCGAGTGTCCGGCAGAGGGCGCTGTGCTGCTTGTGCTATACACGTGGGAATGGCTGCTCGGTCCCGGTGTTCGCTCAGCTTCCTCCATACAGAATGGGGGTTCAGGGACCGATCCGATATACCGAGCTCCAGCCGGGGGCCGGACACACTGCTCCCTCCCTGAATGATCGGAAACCGACTGCAAGATGTACCTGCTCCATAGGAAGCCATGAATAAGGTAAGCTACCCTGAATAACCTCTCCTGTCCCTTTAACTGGCTGGCTGGATCCCTGTTACTCTCCTGTCCCTTTGGCTGGCTGGATCCCTGTTACTATCTGTAAAAACACGGGTTAAATGGGCCCAGAACTGCTTTATATAACTGGCTTGTACATACCTCCTGCTACATTTCCAAACTTCTCTTGTATTTCTGTCCTCACTAAACTTGGGTTAGTGCTGCTGGGAATGATGACAGAAAAGGCCGAATTGCAGTTCTCTCTTTAGAGCAGGACAATGACAAATCCCCTTGAAGCGAAAACTGAACTGACCTATGCAGCTTTTCTCTAGTTTAAATTAAAGCTTCTCATTTGATCCATGGACTAGGTATCTTTACTGCTGGATTCTATTACTCCTGTGTAAGATGTAACAATACATTTATTTCTCAATACAGGTATACTGTGGCTGGTGACTTGCTGGTCCCAATGCCAAAGCCTGCTTTATGGAGTCCATGCAAGATGATTAATGTGTAGAGCTGACCATCAGTGTAAGTACAACTTCTAGTCTGATCTGACTTGGTTGAATGTAATGTTCACTAAGGTAATGCACTTCCTTTGCTGGGGTTAAAGCCCCTGGTGCAGCAATGTTCCATAGGCTTCTTGATGTCTGGGCATGAGACATGGTACTGAGGGATGATGACATAAAAGGCCGAATTACAGAGCCTCTCCAAGCAGTTCTCTCTGTGGAAGAGGCTCGATGACAAAACTCCTTGAAGCGAACTCAAAACTGACCTCAACCAAACATGTCTTAAACTCTCTTACAGAGTACCAATAACTGTGTGAATGCCGCTAACATAGAACCCTTAATGCAGGCTATCCCTGTTACACTTCTGTCCCTTTAAATGACTGGCTGTATCCCGGTTATCTGTAAAATGAATGGTTAAATGGGCCTAGAACTGCTTTATATAACTAGCTTGCACATAGCTCCTGCTACATTTCCAAACTTCTCTTGTATTTCTGTCCTCACTAAACTTGGCTTAGTGCAATCTGGTGCGCATGCATGGCTTCGCTCTGCACCAATTGCATTCTTTATAGAGCTGCATTGGATGCCGCCCTATGAATGAACTCTGCGCCTCTACCGCGCAGAATGCGCATTCGCGAGCTGAGCTGTCTAACTGACAGCTCAGCTTGCTTTCTATACCTGCCCCCCTCCTCAACCAAACGGTGTTTGCATAGAAACACTAGATATCTATATCGTTATAAATTAAAGACATACACACACTCTCCATCCATATCCTCACCCACTAAACAAGTTTACTTACAGATTGGATCCTCCACTCTTCAGTCTTCAGCCTGTCTGCTCAAGCCACTCCACGCAGTGCTGACAGCCTCAGCACACAAAGTGTATTCCCAGTGCTTTGTGTGATGATGGCACGTCTGAAGTATTCACCCACGCGTGAATACGTCAGACGTGAATGAAGGTGGGTTTTTTTTTTTTTTTTCTGAACTCTAAGTCCCTGTGACCGTTTGACCTGCAACTAGAGGTGTTCCTAGCTTTCAATGTAAACACTGTATTTTCTATGCAAATACAGTGCTTACGAGAAAAAGGCTGCAGGGAGCTGTAGCACTCACCTGAACAACCTCATTAAGTTGAAGTTCAAGTGACTAGTGTCCCTTTTAAATGAAAGCTTCTCATTTGATCAATGGACTAGGTATCTCTGCTTCTGGATTCTATTACTCCTGTGTAAGATGTAACAATACATTTATTTCTCCATACAGGTATACTGTGGATGACTTGCTGGTCCCAATGCCAAAGCCTGCTTTATGGAGTCCATGCAAGATGATTAATGTGTAGAGCTGACCATCAGTGTAAGTACAACTTCTAGTCTGATCTGACTTGGTTGAATGTAATGTTCACTAAGGTAATGCACTTCCTTTGCTGGGGTTAAAGCCCCTGGTGCAGCAATGTTCCATAGGCTTCTTGATGTCTGGGCATGAGACATGGTACTGAGGGATGATGACATAAAAGGCCGAATTACAGAGCCTCTCCAAGCAGTTCTCTCTGTGGAAGAGGCTCGATGACAAAACTCCTTGAAGCGAACTCAAAACTGACCTCAACCAAACATGTCTTAAACTCTCTTACAGAGTACCAATAACTGTGTGAATGCCACTAATATAGAACCCGTAATGCAGGCTTACCATTGGCTCTCTGTTACTATAATGGGTATAGTAGCCTAGCTGCAGTTGTCTGACTTATGTTTGTGGCTTTTGTTTAAATTTTTTTTAGAAGTCAAAGATCTTTTATGGGGGGGAAAAAAAAATTCCCCCAATGCTGTGAAACTGCTATAACCAAGTCAAGCTCTGCTTCATTTGAACCTGGAAATGCATTTGTCAGAAGAAACTAAAGTTCATGGCTGGACTCTCTTAATCTACATGGTTCATCTTGAGTTCCTGGTGATGTGGCACCTCATGTATAATCTTATAATAAAGATTACTTCACAAATTCTGTGAAGGACTTCATTTAAAGACTAGTATCGTTCCTTTCTGCACTCACATGTCTCATCCAATCTTCTGAATGCAGGAAGTTCTCATGCCCCTGACCTCCTGTAGAAAGCTGATGTAGATATTTCTAAATATTGTGAAAGGACACACCATTCATGCTAAGGTTATTGTACAGGCCTTCTGCATGACTTAATTCCGATCCTTATGTTAATGACGGTCACTGCAGCTCTAGTATCAGGGCGTTCTGTCCTGACTGGAGCTTTGTCAAAGTCATCCAAGGGGTTGTGACTTAACAAGTATCACTGAAAGAAAAGGTCCTGGAACTCCAATGCTTTATAGGCAGTTATTGGGACCACTGATGTTCCGACCTCCAAGAGCGTCTCTGTCAAGGTTACGTCACATCAAGAAATTAAATTTGTGTTTTGTTTTGTTTTTTAATATGGGGGTAATAGGAGGGGGATGATGCAATAATACAATTGGTGGGTAAAAGTAGCATTTGGTATTCACATATGTCAAGACGGCACAATTAGTCCTTGGTGCAATTATTAATAAAGTGATCAAGCTCAACTGGGTACATGCCCAGTTTTGCAAAAATAAATGAGGAACAGGATAAAATTTAAAGTGACACTGTAGGCACCCAGACCACTTCAACTAATTTAAGTAGTCTGGGTGCTGTACCTTTTTTGCACTTAGTGCTGCAATACACTAAGTAAACATGCTAGATAACCACTTTCTGAAACGAGGACTGCCCTAGCACATGCGATGTATGACCTCATCATGCGTTGGTTGCACGCAACATGATGCAGTCAGGAGGTGCAGGTACAAATATTAAGGCCATCTATCTCCTGAATGGAGCAGAACCGGAAAACCCAATTAAGGCAATAGATGGGCTGCCATGATACAATATCACCGAGAACATGCCAACCATACAATGGAGGTATAAAAAAACCTATAGCCAATTTATTCCTGCCTTGTGGGTGTGAATTTTTTTTTTTTTTTTTTTTTCTTCTATTCCATAAAGGGCTTGAATTGTGCTGTATTGACATCTGGTGAATAACAAATGAAGTACTTAATTATCATACTCTCATTGTATTACACTTTATTTTCCACTGAAAATAAAATGGCATTTCTTGGTGTGAAGTAGCTCAAAGACCCTCTTTGAATACATGAACAGGTGAGGTTCCTAGTGCTTGTAAAATCTGGGTATGGTAGCTGGTACTTCCCAAACCAGGGTCTAACTCTGTATCTAGGTATAGGTCATGGAAGCAGTGCCTTCTGGGTGTCCTCAAACATGTATGGGGGTGAGTCAGTATGGAAAACTGTGTAGTGTGTTCTATATGTGGTGAGGTAAAATAAGACCTATGGAAAGGGAGTAAGACACAAGAGGCGAGGGGCTGTAAGAAACACATGAAAAAGAAATAGGGGGGGATAAGAGAGATAGAGAGAGAGATATATATATACACACACACACACTCTAAAGGGGAGTGTAAGACAAAAAGGGAGATTAGTTACACTAACTTGGGTAAGACATTCAAGAGGGAGATTAAGGGAGACACAGGTGAAGATGCATTTTGCAGAGAGGGCAGGCAAAATGCAGCTTCACCCATGTAGCCAAAAATACTTGCACCTGCCTTGGTTCCAATAAATGTGCATATAAAACACTGGAGTGCATGGACTTTTTTTTTTTTTCTCCAACTGTCATCTATATTCTGTCAGGCTGGTGCTGGCCCATGGTCTAGTTAAGCACCCTCTTGGCTGATGTGGATTGAGTGCAGTTCCTATTGACTCTTGTGACTGTGATACATGTTAACACAATCTTTCTTTGTATCAGAGGGGCTATGGAAGTACAGATAAGGTTGGCAGTCTTCTAATCTGACTAGAAAAATGTAAAACTCAGTTATTTCAACTTTGAATTTGGACCCTTCCCTTATAATAACCAGTGTATAATGTTAACCTCTTAAACAAATCCTTCCCATCCCAATCCAGACTTGGCTGAACTTTAAATAGATTGGCTCAAGCATGCTACCAGAGTGGACATCGTGTGAATTCAATTCCTAAAATACGTCGACGTTTAACATTTTGTCTTAAAGGCTTTTCCAGGCACCTACAGCCTTTTGCTGAACATCTTCCACTCTGATATATCACGTCACTCACATTTTTCTAAGTGTTTTTATTAAAAACCATTCCTTCTCTAAGTTAACGATATAACTTAGATATGAGATTCCTGGTGTCTTTGTTCAAGCAGAGGAGACAATCCTTTCAATTACAGTACAGAGTAGGGTTTAATTATCTTTAATGACCTGGAAATGGTTTGGGATTGTAGAAGACCTAAATGTGTCACCACGTTTCTGAGCAGTTGAAAATGGTCCAAAGAATTCTGCAGCAAATGTTATGACATCCTCGGGCTTTCTAAGGAGTAGAAACTGCATGAAATCTGCCAGGAGTATCTTCATTTCCGGGTGCCGGCGGAGGTAGGTTTCATGGCCTGCGATAAGTTCTGCCTGAAATGGAAACCTGAGCTTTGACTGGTTCAGCTGACAATTACGAGTGAATCTGAATTATGAAAATAGTGTGTGTATTTTTGTAGCCATTTTTCTACTTGTCTGCCAGGAGTGTATTCTGTAACATGGGGGAATCAGGAAAATATCTTTAATCATTTGAATGCCAGCTGTACTTGTGCACCATAAAACACACCAGGGATATCTCTCAGGGTTCTATTCATATTTTCTCATTACTTAAAACCTCCTGGTTTTAGGGTTTCCCCATGAGACTCGTAGCTGTGGAGTGGTAAAGGCAGAGCTTATTCACTAAACTGAGTTCTAGTTGAAATATGACTATAGCCAAACAATTGGCCCATATTTAGCTTTTCTGCTTTCAGTTCAGTTATTAGTGAGTAAATACTTCAGTATGGATTTACTATCTGGGGTGAATACACCATGACACTAAAGACTTTAACGAGGCAGGATATACACACACCTTTCTGTCCAGATAATTGGAATATAACTGCACATCCTCTTGCCAAATCAGAGGTTTTCTTCCAAACACAGGTTTAGGGTCTTGTTCATCTAAAACAAAAAACATGACATCATAGTTCACATTTTACACATCCACCGTCTTGAGCCCACCCAGCAAGTCACAATCTGCCACCCATGTAGTTTGCGCACTACGAAGCACCACTCTGGGCAAACACTATGCAACTGCTGTATTTTAAGATGGACACCACAAACAATGACTGCATCCTTTTCTGAACAACATTTAATTGAATCTTGAGCTCCGGCTGTTGTGGACTCCTTCTCCCAGCGTGCTATGCCACTGTTTCAAATAATGTGCAATTGTCATATATTCTGAAGAGTCGTGGTCCACAGACTTAAGTAGGGGAATGCTCTCATTGCCTATAGACACTGTCGTCTTTGACGCTGTTTGCATTAGATTCCTGAAGTTCTGAAAATGTGTCTTACCTGGTTCAGACAATATGGGCATCCGGGAAAGTCTTATGATAACCGGTGATCCAATCTGGACTCTGCTAGCCAAGTGCCTGGGAGGTAAGAGTAGTATTAAAATAGGAAAATAACTTCATTATGAAAACAAAAATTCAAGCGTGTCAGCTGAGTGCTGTGTATTTATTACACTTTTAAATAACACACTTAATGCCTATGATCTAAGTATAACATGAATTATCTCCAAAAAGCATTCATTTTATGATGTATGATGATGGAGAAGGGATTGATATCAAGACATACCCATCTGAAAGAAAGTAACAGTGCCACGTAATGGGAACATCGTCTGAATGGATCATTCGTTCTATGCCGTAAACCTCCACAGTGTCCTTTCCAATCCCTTGGCTCTGGAATCCCAGCTCAGTCTGATATGAAAAGAGCAAGGAGGAGAGAGGATAACTGTACAGAGATTACAGTATCTTTCACTCAGTTGCACAGAATAATTGATTCTATTATAGCTTAATCAGCACTGTCATTCATATCAAGTTTCCCATCAATGAACTCAAGGTTGTTTTGGTGCAATATACAACAGTAAGTAAAAGATTTACACTTTAATTTTGTATTAATGCCAGCACAAAATGCAGGTTTAATTAATGATTTATTTTTTAAAAAAAACAAACATATCTTAAAGTTGTAAATGTTGTTTTACTACAACTGCTAAGGAGTAATCTGACTAGGTACCTCTTTGTTAGATATTCTGAACCAGATACAGCAATTTGTATGCTAGGAAGCCATATTCAAATTATACCACACTAAGAAAATTAACGAGAAAGAATACGTTTTCAAGTTAAAGTTAAATCATGCTGAGTCATATTATGGCTGCTATATAACCTCAGATAAAGTTGTTTTTGTCCTTTTATCTTGTACTCATCTGCCACAACTCCGACTACAGTGCCTGATAATATCAAGGCTTAAGTTTAGTCATAAACAAATTATAAGAATAAACTGCAAATTACCGTAAGTGATATCTCATAGATGCCACTAACATAGATATATCTAAAGATAGAGCAGAATGTTTGCAGTGCAGTGTGATACATTTGCAGTGAGAAAATAATAAACATATGACAGTATTAAGAGTTTTTTGGTGATCAGCAATTGAAGGGACACTCCAGACCCCTAAAACATTTTTGGTTGCTGAGCTGTATGTGTAAAGTGTATTTATCTTATTTTCATTTTAAAAAGGTGCAGATTTTAGCAGAAATTTACCTGGTTACACCCTCTTGGCTTTCAAGCAGACAGCAGCTTCTATTACTTCCTGGTTGTCTAGCTCAATGGTGGCTGAAATTGCCCAGAGTACCTGCCTTGCAAAGACTTCTCATTAATCTGCATTGGAAAGTCTGTGATTGGACAGCTACAGAAAGTCTGGGCGGGGTTAGAATGGGAGGGCTTGCAAAGGCTTCAGAACAGAGAACTGCAGCTTTTGCAAACAGATTTGAAATATACCCCCAATAAAAAAATGCATAATTAAATGTGTGCATGTATTCATTTGGGGTATATCTATTAAACATTGATTTGTATTTATTTTGCATTTGGCAGTGGAGTGTCCCTTTAAGGGATTAAGCATTATTCAACATCCATAATTTGGCAAAAATAACATATTGTATACGTCAGAACTTTGGTAGAAGTTGAAAGATAGCCTACTAACCAATGAATTGTTAGTATTATTTTGATTCTGTGCCACTCATAGAGATCTATCGAAACTATACCTTCATAAACCCTGTACTTTTATCAATAAATTGACAAACTGTCAAATTGCACCAGAAACTCTGTTTGTCAATTTGATTATTCTTCTCAACCAGTTAGATCAACGAAGGACTGCCCATAAATTGTTCAATTCTCCAGGTAAAGAGATGGTTTACCAACCATAAGAGGGCCCTGGTCAGGAAAGAACCCTAACACCCATGATGGCTGTAATAAAAGTACATTTGCTCATTTACGAAGGCTTCAATATTTATTTCATAGTTGTCTGAGAGGTAATTCCTTGAAGTTCTCTGTTTGTCTGTGCCACTTTTAAAAACCAGCATATTTTGGAGCGTTCTTTGAGATAACTAATCTAATTTGCTACCACTGTCACTGGGCAGCAAGTTGCTTTGTATTGCTGCTTTCTGACTTAGTTCCAACCTTGTGCCTTTGCATAACTCGAATATGAAAGGTAATAGACAGAGATAATGTGTGAAAATTCTATTTTACAGAAATAGTAGTGGATACATGGGAAAACCTTCCAGTGGAAGACATTCAATTTAGAAATCATTTGTATAATACTGGAAAGAACCTAAAGAACTGATCACAATTCAACACCCAGCCTAAGTTTTAATAACATAACCTAGCTGTATGTTATGTTTGATCTAAGTGAACGTTAGATATCTATAGTAAAGGTATAACAGTTACAAAATAAATTCCATTTCTAGTATTTAGGATGTGGTTACTAAAGGGGAAACACTGGGGCAGGTTTCTTATTGCACTCATATCACACATATATTTTGTAAATTTGTAGCTGCAAACCATATTTATACAAATATTTATAAAAACTCTTATTCTACAAACATTCAATATAGTGTTTAGAATTATCTGTATTTTTAGTTATTTATTTTTCATTTTTTTCTGCAAATTGTTTTAGACATTTGATTATATAGAACATAATATTATATTTGAAATAATGTTGTGACTAATAATGTAAATTGTCTTTTGGAAAATTGTGAAAATGTGATTCCCATGAAGTCGTTTCACTCTAAACTTTTGACAAGATCAATTTATCGTGGAGCTCTAGTGTACCTGTGGGAGAGCTGTTGCTGGCGATGCAGGTCTCCGATCTCTCTTATTACATAGTGTTCTTGTGGCCAGTGGTACAGGCATTATGTCAGATAGGCAGCAGGGATTAGAATGCTAAAGTGACAGTCACCATGTTTGCCCGACAGGCAGCAAGGATTAGAATGCTAGTGTGACAGTCACCAGGTGTGCCCGACAGGCAGCACGGATTAGAATGCTAGGGTGACAGTCACCAGGTTTGCCCGACAGGCATCAGGGATTAGACTGCTAGGGTGACAGTCACCAGGTTTGCCCGACAGGCAGCAGGGATTAGAATGCTAAAGTGACAGTCACCATGTTTGCCCGACAGGCAGCAAGGATTAGAATGCTAGTGTGACAGTCACCATGTTTGCCCGACAGGCAGCAGGGATTAGAATGCTAGTGTGACAGTCACCAGGCTAGGGTGCCCGACAGGCAGCATGCTAGGGTGGATTAGAATGCTAGGGTGACAGTCACCAGGTTTGCCTGACAGGCAGCAGGGATTAGAATGCTAGGGTGACAGTCACCAGGTTTGCCCGACAGGCAGCAGGGATTAGACTGCTAGGGTGACAGTCACCAGGTTTGCCCGACAGGCAGCAGGGATTAGAATGCTAGGGTGACAGTCACCAGGTTTGCCTGACAGGCAGCAGGGATTAGAATGCTAGGGTGACAGTCACCAGGTTTGCCCGACAGGCAGCAGGGATTAGAATGCTAGGGAGTTACAGTCACCAGGTTTCCCATATCTTACATCCTCATGTCCCCACTCTTGAAGACAAGCAACAGAGAGGAGATGGGTGGGATATCAGCAGTGATGGAGGACCAGGATTTTTAAGCACACCACATACGCTTTCCAACACGCATATTGTGTAACTGGGGAGTGTGATGTGTGTCTGGTTGCGTGCAAACTCACGTAGCTCGAAGTACACAGGTTAGTCTCTGCATCGAAACACAGAAAGACCATGTCTTGTGATAACTTCCTCCGGGCCATTAGGCGCATAATCAGCAGATTGGATGCTTCTGTAACCAGCCCTGACAGCAGGTTTAATGGATGAGAAGTCGTTTCCTGGCTCACTTTCTAAACAAAATGAAATGGAAAATTATCCAATGGACACTTTTTCTGCGTCCAATAAAAGTTTTAGACCAGCAAATACATCAAGAATAAATAGTTATTTTACAGAAGGAATTGACAAACGACATAGAACATTAACATATATATCTACTAAATGTATGCTTAAAAGATATTACCCTACCTCATCCTCTGTACTAACCGTATTACTATATCTACACACATTGTATATTATGATCTATTCTTGGGGTAAGCAACCCTCGGCACTCCAGATGTTGTAGACAACAACTCCCTTATATTTACCAGGATTATGGGACATGTAGTCCACAACAGTTACCTACCCCTGATATTCAGTGTATGTGTAAGAGATATTGTCTTACCTCGCCCTCGGTAATAATGGTGTTAATAACCAGCTGGTCCCCTTGTCTCCGTATATGGGTCTTCTTATCCACAGAGTTAGCTTTCATCTGTAACATGCAATAGCCATGAAAAGAGATTAAGGAAAGGAACAGCCAGCCAACACGCCAGGTTTACATACAGGGCACCATTCACCCACTCCACCACCAAACCACAATAAAGAGCTAGCAGTAGAGATGGAGGATTAGTCGTAACTTTGTGAGAGTAACACATAGCCGTGCCCATTCTCAAAACAAGCTAACTATGTCTACTGAAGGTGTTTACTCCCTGAACTGTGAATTGTGGAGAATCGGTAAGGAAACGGAACATTTTAGGTCAAAACAGAGAAACTGGAAAAAAGTTATAGAGTTTAGATTTTGTCCAGATGAGCTACTTTGGCCTAAAATGAAAATAGTCTTGCTTTACTGAATACATGTCCATTCTTCCTTGATATTGCCATATTGCCCAGTGCAGATGCCAGTTCCAGTAAAGTTGTAGGTAGCTGACTTTAGTTAAATTGTGAACTTTATTGAAATGGAATCCGAATAGTGAGATTTACGCTAAAGGAATATCTGTTCATTAAGGTCAAATTGGCTCAAGATACACACTGAGTGACCATTACTTTGTCAAAAAGCTGCCAGATGTCACAGTCAGGGATAAGCAATCGCTGGAATTCTAACTGCTGCAGGCTACAGAATGTAAGCTCTCGGATACATATATCACAATTGTGTATTGTAAAGCTGGAATACGGTGTTATAATGTATGAGCATGTTATTAAGCATCCTAGAAGGTGCATTGTGCAGCTATAATGTGTGGTTTCAAAGTATAAACCTCTGTCTAAGCATCCTAAAAGGTGTAGTGTGCAGTTATATTGCATGATTACAGACTACACGCCTATGGTTAAGCATTCCGAAAGGTAACGAGTGCGGTGGTTATAGTGATGTTCGGAATAATCCAATTTGTACCTTTATATACTCGTGATGATGCTGCTCCAGTATTTCTAACTTTGGTGAAATGTAACCTGAAAGAGAACACAATATCAATGGGAAGAAAAGGAAAAATGTTTGGACAGGGTTATACAATGTAACTCTCCAGGACGTTTGCTCCATTTTATAGAATAAGCAAAGCTATATAGTTAATAATGATTTCTCACAAGGTTGTATAGTTCATTAGGTAATTTATAAAACATTGTAACCTACCAGAGCCTACATAGGTCTGAAGGCACAGATGTCACATACTGACTTCCAAGCAATGCTTTACGGTAAAGAAACAGAGTTTTATCCCAGTATAATGTGATTTTATTAACAAATACAGACATTCTCACCAACTATTGAGCTGCCTGTTGGAATATTATCAATGATGCTTTGGGTAGAGGCATGAACCAGGAAGCATTTCTCTTCTTCCAGTCCTTCTAGCTGGTGGTATGTGGGCTGCACGCTGACTGTGAAAGAACCTGATTCATCTCCAGACTCCGAAACGGTGTTAAAGGACTCACTAAACAGGCACAGACACAGCTCATCCAACCCTGGAAAGACAGGACCAAGACATATCACTTTTATAATTAGGATATTAATTTCAGGTAACCGTGAAATGATGTTTCTGTTAGAAGCCAGTGTAGCTGGTTGCTATTGAACCATAGCTGCAAACCATAACACTTAGGTGGGCTTTTTTGTATTTGGGGAGTCAGCCAGAAGATGGCGCTCTTGCATAATAAAGTTCACCTTTACCAGATCTTTTCTTTTATTGGTCTGTTTGGGACCTCAGTTTTCCAATTTTGTGACCGTTCTACCTGCTGGAAGGAGGTTAAGTAATAACTTACCTATGTTGGACATAAATTCAATCGCCTCTGGACTGGCCATAGGGACACTGTGTGGCAAGGAATCATCATTTTCTAAATAAAGAAAATTACTGTAAATCAGTCAACCAACATTAAACCTTATCACACACGTTTTATAAAGAGAAGTAACTGACATAATAACCGTTAACAATTAAACCTACTCAGGGGGAAAATGAGTAATCAGCACTTACCCACACTGAATGCAACTTCTGTGGCTCCGGGCACAATGGCCTCTGCAGGTATTGGGTTTTCTAGATACAACGTACACAATATTAATGTCAGGCTCAGTTACCTTACAGCTAGGCCAGGTAGACCCCAAGACTCTGCATTTATTCCACTATGATAAAGCTAGATGATGGCATGTTTTGGAAGTTTGTTTTCTTGAACAGCCCAGCTTGAAAATCTCACATATACAGGGTTAGTAAATAGCCAAGCTGTATCCCAGATATACAGGGTTAGTAAATAGCCAAGCTGTATCCCAGATATACAGGGTTAGTAAATAGCCAAGCTGTATCCCAGATATACAGGGTTAGTAAAGAGCTATATCCCAGATATACAGGGTTAGTAAATAGCCAAGCTGTATCCCAGATATACAGGGTTAGTAAAGAGCTATATCCCAGATATACAGGGTTAGTAAATAGCCAAGCTGTATCCCAGATATACAGGGTTAGTAAATAGCCAAGCTGTATCCCAGATATACAGGGTTAGTAAATAGCTATATCCCAGATATACAGGGTTAGTAAATAGCCAAGCTGTATCCCAGATATACAGGGTTAGTAAATAGCCAAGCTGTATCCCAGATATACAGGGTTAGTAAATAGCCAAGCTGTATCCCAGATATACAGGGTTAGTAAAGAGCTATATCCCAGATATACAGGGTTAGTATAGAGCTGTATCCCAGATATACAGGGTTAGTAAAGAGCTATATCCCAGATATACAGGGTTAGTAAATAGCTGTATCCCAGATATACAGGGTTAGTAAAGAGCTGTATCCCAGATATACAGGGTTAGTAAAGAGCTGTATCCCAGATATACAGGGTTAGTAAAGAGCTGTATCCCAGATATACAGGGTTAGTATAGAGCTGTATCCCAGATATACAGGGTTAGTAAAGAGCTATATCCCAGATATACAGGGTTAGTAAATAGCTATATCCCAGATATACAGGGTTAGTAAAGAGCTATATCCCAGATATACAGGCTTAGTATAGAGCTGTATCCCAGATATACAGGGTTAGTAAAGAGCTGTATCCCAGATATACAGGGTTAGTAAATAGCTATATCCCAGATATACAGGCTTAGTAAATAGCTATATCCCAGATATACAGGGTTAGTCAAGAGCTATATCCCAGATATACAGGGTTAGTAAATAGCTGTATCCCAGATATACAGGGTTAGTAAATAGCTATATCCCAGATATACAGGGTTAGTAAATAGCTATATCCCAGATATACAGGGTTAGTAAAGAGCTATATCCCAGATATACAGGGTTAGTAAAGAGCTATATCCCAGATATACAGGGTTAGTAAAGAGCTATATCCCAGATATACAGGGTTAGTAAAGAGCTATATCCCAGATATACAGGGTTAGTAAATAGCTGTATCCCAGATATACAGGGTTAGTAAATAGCTGGGGTATTTTATTTTAATTCATTTCGATCTCTAAAGGAGTATTCACTCACCTACACTAGATGGATCACTTGTCGTCTCTTGGACTGTGCTGGGGATATCTGGAGATGTTGGTCTTTCGTTATCTAAACAAAAATATATATAATTAATGAACAAAGTATAAATATGGGCACCAAGCCAGTGACAAGTCATGTGTTATACACCAGCAAGGAATGAGCAGCAACTAATCACTCACCTACAATGGGTTCAATTGCCAAGGCTTCTGGATTAGAACCAAGGACATCTGTGGGATAGAATAAAGGTTAGCAATACAATATTTTGGTGTTTATTTACTGGACTAAACATTCTGGATAACTGATAAAGGAGTTAATAAATTTAGGGGAACGGCTGCTCAGCTGGAAAAATGTTTTATTTTGGCCTAAAATACCCTTGTCATGTTTATTAATTCCTAAATTAGTGAACGAACCCACGGTCATTAAAAAGGTGCAGATATACATTTTATTTTAGCTGCAAACCTTAGGTGGGCTATATTTTGTATTTGGTGTGTCAGCCAGATTAATAATTAGTTTACTATTCAGTATACTAGGCTATGTGCAGCTTGGCAAGGAAATCAGTCCAAGAGGATATGCGTGTGGCATGCTTAGATTGTCATAGGTCAGTCCCCTGTTTCAATGTCAAACTTGGACTCTAATGTGGAATTAACGCTGCCACCTTATTAATGTCAACTTTGTCTAAACTGGATGCCATTGATTGGTGTGACGAAATGCCTTTTGTCACTGGATTTTTAGGTGACAAGCTGCCCTTTGCCCCTGGCTGTTGGAGGAGCCTGATTGCCAGCCTCCTGCCTATGGCCCTGGGTTGTATGGCCCTTTACAAACATTATTTGTGCTAATGAATTTATATTGTGCTGCTGGTGGCCCTTTAAAAACTGCATTGTGGCTTATGAACTTGTATTGGACCATGCTGGCTCTTTAAAAACCGTCTTCGGCCATATTGAGACTTTGTGTGACCGTGCCCCTTTAAGACTATGTCCCCAAACCTGTAAAATCCTTTGTGCAGGGCTTTCTCCCATTTGGTTCAGTAAATGGGGCTTACTGAACCAAGTGCTACACAGGCGGACCACCCAGAAGTGGAAGTGTGCAGGCAATTTACCTCCCAGGCTGGGAGCCTGCTGTAGGTAAATTGCCGACCGCTGGGTGGCCGCAGTTCGTGCAAACGAACACGTGGCGGCAGCCATCTTTGTTCATTCAAACAAGGTCAGAGGTATGTGTAGCCAAATTCATGGAACTGAAATCGGCTACACATTTCAACAAACACCGCTGACCCTTACCTTCTCCTACACTAAGTTTGAAGCAGCAGAGACTAAGTCCCGTTCGGCAGTTTGAACTCACTGTTATACTGAGCCAAATGCACGAACGGCCCCGTTCGTGAATTCGAATGGGACTCAGTCATTTTTCTGCCTGAAATAGACCGACCGCACAGCCCAAATCTATGGAACTGTTTTGGGCAGGAAAATGTGTTTGCGTTCGGTCATAAAGTACTTCCAGCTAACTTTTGAACTTCTGGAGGGATTTGTGTAATTTTTGGTTATGTTTATATTTAAAGTATGCTGATTCTGAATATGTATGTTTTATGTGAATATGATACATATTTTTAAAGTTACAGTGTATGTATAAAAAGTTTATTTTTCCTGCCTGTGATAATTACATTAACCCATTGTGTTTAGTAATTATATCACAGGCAAAGGGGAGGATTTGTGTGTAATTGCTGGGAGTGTGTTACTGTAATGTACATGTTTTATTGGTTGTTCTACAAAACCCTGTGGGCGGGACTGTGTGTAAAACCTGCATAAAAGAAAGTCCTTTGGTGCCAATTAAAGCAGATCATCTTGTACCTTCATGAAGTTTCGGCTCATGTTTGGGGGATTGGAGAACTACACTCTGGGGATTGCTATAATCACTATACTGCCCAGGGTATAATCACTAAGCTCTGCTAAGAGCTTGTTCCTGTTCACTGGAATTCGGAGAGGTCGACCTACTGGAAGCTGGACCCTGGCGAGACCCCAACCAAGCTGCGGCGGTTCGTGGGAGTCTACAGTGGTTATGGTGTCTGGCGGAGTGCTTAGAGTCCTCGGGAAGCACTAGGAGCATTCATCAATGGAAGGTACCCTGTCGTGGTGCCAGCGGTTCCGTTACAATTGGGTTAACCTGCCACCAGTACTCAGAGACAATTACTGAGATCCATGTTGGATGAAATGGACAGTCAATGCAGTGGTTATGTAGTTTAGAGTATTCCTTAAATACTTTGATATGATTACCAGTTAATACCCCACTGCCATTCTATACTAAACACAGGCACATGCATTTGTTTCTTGACTAGAATGAGGGTATGGACTGTGTTGGGGTGCCTAACCCATACACATCGCCTGTGATTAATCACTCACCTGTGCGGGATACAGTATCAAGGGACTCTGCGTCAATGTTTGGAGAATCTGTTGGTGGTGATGGTTCCAAATCCTGAAGGACGTTTGTGTCCATCTATTATGAAAATGAAAGGTTACAGTTACTCTGGTGTTACATGTTTAGTAAACTTTAATGACCTGTGCTGCCAACAGGCTTAAAGAAGTAATATCAGGATAGGACTCACCTTTTACTATAAATGCCCATTTTTAAACATCACTTTACCTTCCGAATTATTTAACTTCTTTAGAACTCATAGGGTGACTCTCCCAGTTTTTATAAAAAAATCATTCAGTTAAAATAACATTTTTAAAAATATATAATTTGCAGAAGGTGCATGAAATTGAGTATACGAGTGAGTTTATATATTCCACATCATATCAGATAAAAAATATGAAGAAATAAATGATGTATTGCTAGCTTTGGGAAGCTTTGGGTTAACCCAGAATCTTATCAGCCCAATGCAAGCAAGGGGCTCCAAGGGGCTTATCATTCTCACTTGTGTGCTGGAAAACCCATTAAATACAATACATCCCCACCTGCTAAACTCTTTAATAAAGGCGATAACGGCATTTACTAACTATCTGCAAAATATTAGACGTTTAAATGATGTTTGTAAAATATATATTATATGATCAGATTGTCAGCGCGGTGATTTTCCTAACCCCAGAACGACCAAATATGGGACAACTAATTTGTACAACTCTGCGGAATATGTTGGTGCTTCAGTAATAATAATTAATGGAATAATAACATTAATAATAATTAACTGAATAATAATAATATTAATAATAATAACACACAGTATAATAATAATAACATTAATAATAATATTAACACACAGTATAATAATAATAACACACAGTATAATAATAATATTAATAATAATATAACACACGGTATAATAATAATAATAATAATAATAATAACACACGGTATAATAATAATAATAATAATAATAATAATAATAATAATAATAATAATAACACACGGGATGCTATTGATGGATGGCAGGGTCTGATAGAACTTTAGTAAATTTGACCATCACCCATCCACGTGACGTCACCCTGTCTCATGACGTCATCAGTGAGAGGCAGCAGCTCTCCAGCTGTCCCTGAACTACAAATCCCATGATGCACTGCAGGCCTGCCCCCCTCCTGTGCCCTGCCTGGCCTCCTGCTCCCACAGACACCCGGAGGAGGCTCAGGGAAGCCATGTTTACCTCGGTATAGCGCCCTGTCCGACTCCACTACCAGGTCTGCAGCTAGGCCGCGCCGTCACCATGGTAACAGTAACAGTATCCATAGCAACAGAGGGGAGGGCGTACAACGCTGTGAGGATCTCGGTGCCATCTAGCGGCCGGTCTGGGTACCGCGCGGTGACTGGGTTACAGCGCTGTGAGGTTCTCGCTGCCATCTAGCGGCCGGTCTGGGTACCGCGCGGTGAATGGGTTACAGCGCTGTGAGGATCTCGCTGCCATCTAGCGGCCGGTCTGGGTACCGCGCGGTGAATGGGTTACAGCGCTGTGAGGATCTCGGTGCCATCTAGCGGCCGGTCTGGGTACCGCACGGTGAATGGGTTACAGCGCTGTGAGGTTCTCGGTGCCATCTAGCGGCCGGTCTGGGTACTGCGCGGTGAATGGGTTACAGCGCTGTGAGGATCTCGGTGCCATCTAGCGGCCGGTCTGGGTACTGCGCGGTGAATGGGTTACAGCGCTGTGAGGTTCTCGTGCCATCTAGCGGCCGGTCTGGGTACTGCGCGGTGAATGGGTTACAACGCTGTGAGGATCTCGCTGCCATCTAGCGGCCGGTCTGGGTACCGTGCGGTGAATGGGTTACAACGCTGTGAGGATCTCGCTGCCATCTAGCGGCCGGTCTGGGTACTGCGCGGTGAATGGGTTACAACGCTGTGAGGATCTCGCTGCCATCTAGCGGCCGGTCTGGGTACCGCCGCCCGGTAGATGGGACCCACAGCGCTGTGTGAGGATCTCAGCGGTGCCATCCCAGCCGGCCGGTCTGGGTACTGCGCGGTGAGATGGGTTAACGCTGTGGGGATCTCGGTGCCGTGGCGGCCGGTCTGGGTACTGCGCGCGGTGAATGGGTTACAACGCTGTGAGGATCTCGGTGCCATCTAGCGGCCGGTCTGGGTACCGCGCGGTGAATGGGTTACAGCGCTGTGAGGATCTCGGTGCCATCTAGCGGCCGGTCTGGGTACCGCACGGTGAATGGGTTACAGCGCTGTGAGGATCTCGCTGCCATCTAGCGGCCGGTCTGGGTACTGCGCGGTGACTGGGTTACAACGCTGTGAGGATCTCGGTGCCATCTGGGTTACAGCGCTGTGAGGTTCTCGTGCCATCTAGCGGCCGGTCTTGGTACCGCACGGTGAATGGGTTACAGCCCTGTGAGGATCTCGGTGCCATCTAGCGGCCGGTCTGGGTACTGCGCGGTGAATGGGTTACAGCGCTGTGAGGATCTCGCTGCCATCTAGCGGCCGGTCTGGGTACCGCGCGGTGAATGGGTTACAACGCTGTGAGGTTCTCGGTGCCATCTAGCGGCCGGTCTGGGTACCGCGCGGTGAATGGGTTACAACGCTGTGAGGATCTCGCTGCCATCTAGCGGCCGGTCTTGGTACTGCACGGTGAATGGGTTACAACGCTGTGAGGTTCTCGCTGCCATCTAGCGGCCGGTCTGGGTACTGCGCGGTGACTGGGTTACAACGCTGTGAGGTTCTCGCTGCCATCTAGCGGCCGGTCTGGGTACTGCGCGGTGACTGGGTTACAACGCTGTGAGGATCTCGGTGCCATCTAGCGGCCGGTCTGGGTACTGCAAGGTGAATGGGTTACAACGCTGTGAGGATCTCGTTGCCATCTAGCGGCCGGTCTGGGTACAGCGCGGTGAATGGGTTACAACGCTGTGAGGTTCTCGCTGCCATCTAGCGGCCGGTCTGGGTACTGCGCGGTGAATGGGTTACAGCGCCGTGAGGATCTCGGTGCCATCTAGCGGCCGGTCTGGGTACTGCGCGGTGAATGGGTTACAACGCTGTGAGGTTCTCGGTGCCATCTAGCGGCCGGTCTGGGTACCGCGCGGTGAATAGGTTACAACGCTGTGAGGTTCTCGGTGCCATCTAGCGGCCGGTCTGGGTACCGCACGGTGAATGGGTTACAACGCTGTGAGGTTCTCGGTGCCATCTGGCGGCCTGTCTGGGTTCTGCACGGTGAATGGGTTACAACGCTGTGAGGTTCTCGCTGCCATCTAGCGGCCGGTCTGGGTACTGCGCGGTGAATGGGCTGCTGCTGCATTATCACTGATATTTATTGCCGCTATAATTAAAGACTATTTAAATGTAATTATACTACAACTCTCATCATGCTTTGGTGTGGATATACGAGACATATATATATATACTGTACATATATATACATGAGGTCATTCTCCGCAAGCCAGCGCCAAGAATAATTTGGAATTTTCCTAGAAAAACCCACTTTTCAGTGTAGCTTTAGATTCTAGCCCCTCCCCCCTCCCCCCCCGTAAGTAGCATCAACAGTTTTCGAACAGCCAGGCAGCAAATCTCTTCCTTTATGTTCCCTACACTTCATGTTAATTATAACGATTGGAGGCTACTTCAGGCACCGTGACTACTAAAATGATAAGTGGTTATGGTGCCTGGAAGAGTTCTGGACTAGCTAATGTCAATTCTGTGTATATTTCTAGCACGCACGCTCCTTCATTGTCTGAGATCGATCAGCTGATGAATCCTTGCAAAAACAAAATTCATGGATAGAATTTTTAATTTGTGGGGTGTAAAATGGAAAGTGCTTTAACCCCTTAAGGACCAAACTTAGACATGTCATGTGTCCTTAAGGGGTTAAAGGATCACTATAGGGTCAGGAACACAAAAATGTATTCCTGACCCTATAGTGTTAACACCACCATCTAGCCCCCTGCGCCCCTCATGCCTCCATAAATATAGTAAAAATCTTACTGTATTCAAGCCTGAAGCTGTAAATCTGCATGCTGTTAGACTCAGAAAAACCAGCAGTCTGCTGACATGTGATAGCCTGATCCAATCACAGTGCTTCCCCATAGGATTGGCTGAGACTGACAAAGAGGCAGATCAGGGGCAGAGCCAGCATGATTCAAACACAGCCCTGACTAATCAGCATCTCCTCATAGAGATACATTGAATCAATGAATCTCTATGAGGAACGTTCAGTGTCTGCATTCAGAGGGTGGAGATACTGAATCAAAGGATGCTGTGGACAGTGCTGCTCTGTGCTCTGCTGACAGCAGATCTGAGTGGATGGAGGTATATTATGCCTCCATCAACTTTGAAGCACCTCTGGTTCACTCTGAATGACTGCAACTGGAGGTGTTCCTAGCTTTCAATGTAAACACTGTATTTTCTCAGAAAATACAGTGTTTACATGAGAAAGGCTGCAGGGAGCTATAGTTCTCACCTGAACACAAGGCCGCCATCAGAAATTTTGGGGCCCCTGACAAAGCACAAGGCCTGGGCCCTCCTCCCCTTCCCTTGCCCCCGGGCCCACCCACGCCCTACCTAGTCCGCTGACAATGATGCGGGACTGAATGTGGTGTGTCTAGTGGAAGTGAATTAGAATGTGTGTAATGGATGTAGTGTTTGTGTGTATTAGATACTGTTTGTGCAGTGAATGCAGAGTGTGTGTTTGTGTAGTGGATGCAGTGTGTATAGTAAACGCAGAGTGTGTTTGAGTAGAGGATGTAGTGTGTGTACAGTGATGTAGTGTGTGTTTGTGTAGTGGATGTAGTGTTTGTGTGTACTAGATGAAATGTGTAGTGAATGCAGAGTGTGTGTCAGTGTAGTGAATGCAGAAAGTGTGTTAGTGTGTAGTGAATGCAGAGTGCGTGTTACTGTAGTGAATGCAGAGTGTGTGTTGTACTAGTGTATGCAGAGTGTGTGTCAGGGTAGTGTATGCAGTGTGTGTGTTGTATTGGTGTATGCAGTGTGTGTGTTGTGTTAGTGTATGCAGCGTGTGTGTTGTGTTAGTGTATGCAGTGTGTGTTGTATTGGTGTATGCAGTGTGTGTGTTGTGTTAGTGTATGCAGTGTGTGTTGTGTTAGTGTATGCAGTGTGTGTGTTGTGTTAGTGTATGCAGTGTGTGTGTGTGTAAATATGCAATATGGAGTGGGGGAGGGGGAGGAAGGGGCATTTTCACATTAACTTTTTAATTTTATATTAAATTAATTAAATGTTTCTCCCCCCTCCCTGCTTCTTACCTGTGTCCAGGGAGGGGGAAGATTTCATCCCTGGTGGTCCGGTGGCATGGTGGGGCCCCCGGCTCACTGTTACCGCAGAGGGGGCTCAGCACACTGATTCTACTCTTCTCTTCTAATAACTCTCGCGAGGCCCGCGGCCTGCGTGCAGCGCGGAGCGTTACCATGGAGAGTTATTAGAAGAGAAGAGTAGAGGCAGTGTGCTGGGCCCCCTCTATGGTAACAGGGAGCTGGGGGCCCACGGCTGCACACATAGATACCGACATTCGTCATGGTTGTCACCCCCTGATGGCGGCCCTGTCTGAACAACCTCATTAAGCTGAAGTTGTTCAGGTGACTATAGTGTCCCTTTAAACTGTTTTTTTTTTTCAGTCTTTTGGATCAACAGCAAAAACTGTAAGCTACCGCCAGGCTGGTGAGGTAGCTCAGTTAGTAAATTCCCTGACTACAAAATCTGTTCAAAAATGCAAGGTCACAGGTTTGAATCTCAGCCCTTCATCCTTCTGAGGTCAATAAAATGAGTACCATCAATTGGATAAAATTACTATTCAGCTGCTGCTTTGGTTAATTCTGTCTTCTTTGAGTGCCACTGGGAGAAAGGCACTATATCAATACGAGTTATTATTATAACAAGCAGCAGGATTGTAACAATATTGTCATTGGCAGTAATTCTGTGGATGCATCACTTTGACTGATTGTTTTGTTTAAAATATTTTTTTTTCCAATTTTGAAATAACTATAAAATATAACTTACACAATTATCTACTGGATTCTCTAGAAATCAATATTCTGCCAATCATATTCATAAGGTGTAATATACTTTATTATTTTCAATAGGGAATTTAGTTTATTGATTTCCAATACCCAAATGATTCCTTAAAAAAAATAGAAAGGGGATTTTGATGCATATATATAAATATATATATATATATAAAGGGTATGGGGTCAAATGTCTATGTTCCCGAAGTCCTCATATGTTTGGGATATATGGCCAGCTCCGACACTTATTCATGTAGATAATCGTGGAACTCCCAATATGAATTAAACTAAATATCATTTGTTGGGGAGCCAGGACAGTTCATAAGGAAAGGGCAAGGGGGAGGGTTAATATAAATAGTTGTCCAAGTGTTCTTCAGATTCTCGAGGACCTGGAGAGGGGAAAAT